CCCAGGAGGCCCTGGTGAGAACTCAAGTGCAGAATCTGTGCGATTTTGATTTCTACCCCCTACACACACCTTATTCCTGACATCACACATGATGACGTCAGTCACATTTACCACCCCGTAATTTTTCCAAAAGCTAAAAGAAACCCATCCCTGGTTTATGAAATCGGTTCAGTGGTTGGTGACCAGAGTTTTAAAAAACAAGATAGAATAAAACAGAATTGAAAACATTAGCCTGTAGTATACGTAGTAAAGGTAAGGCATCATAAAGTTGATTTCACAAAACTCTTGTCTCTACTTTTCTGTACATGGATCTGTGTGTCCTGGTCATGATATAAAATGTATTTCTGACTTCACTAGTCTGTAAGCTCCCTAAGTCAGGGACCTTGCCTTGCCCATCCTCACATCCCGCCTCTGCCAGTGCCCAGGATGGTGCCTGCAAACAGTAAGTGCTCAATAACATCTGTGGAGTAAATGGCCTACATTTAACCTTATTGTCCCAAACATTTCAGAATTACAAACATATATTATCACTCCTTTGGTCTTTAAATGCGTCACAGTCTCCAGCCATAGAAACAGGAGGAACAGATTCGAGAAGATGTCCTGTTCCCCTTGGTCAGAGGGACAGGCAGGAATTTAAAGACGGGCAAACAGGTGCACAGAACACATTTTCTCACAGCCCCTGTGTGGAACTCTTACAAAGGAAAACCTTGCATGACCCTCTGATGACAGGGAAGTAATGACAATCTTCCCCGAGCCCTTTTGGAGAAAACAGCTTTCTTTCTAAAAGGGAAGTACATGAAAATGCCTGGTAGCGCCTGATTTCTCTCCTAAACCCCGGGGCTGGCATGAGCCGGGCAGCTGGGGAAGTATATATCCCAGTTGTGTTCTTTCCTAGTACAAGAGCTCAGGCAAGTCACTCAGAGAAACAGAAAAGGGGGAGGGGGAGAGACAAGATGGTTATTTTAAAAAACAAAAAATAAAATAACAAGCATTGACGAGGATGAGGATAAATTGTTAACGCTTGTGTACGGTTACTAGGAATATAAAATGGTGCAGTGCCTGCAAAAAGTGGTGTGGTGGTTCCTCAAAAAATTAAAAATAGAACTACTATATGATCCACCAATTTCACTTTTAGGTATATACTCAAAAGAACTGAAAGCAGGTGGGACGCCTGGGTGGCTCAGTCGGTTAAGCGTCTGCCTTCAGCTCAGGTCATGATCCGGGGTCCTGGAATCGAGTCCTACGTCAGGCTCCTTGCTCAGCGGGAAGCCTGCTTCTCCCTCTCCCTCTGCCTGCCGCTCCCCCTGCTTGTGATCTCTCTCTCTCTCTCTGACAAATAAATAAAATCTCTAAAAGAATAAAAAAAATTTTCTTTGGGCGCCTGGGTGGCTCAGTTGGTTGGGCGACTGCCTTTGGCTCAGGTCATGATCCTGGAGTCCCGGGATCGAGTCCCACATCGAGCTCCCTGCTTGGCAGGGAGCCTGCTTCTCCCTCTGACCCTCCCCCCCTCTCATGTGCTCTCTCTCATTCTCGCTCTCTCAAATAAATAAATAAAATCTTAAAAAATTAAAAATTAAAAAAAAATTTAAAAAAAAGAATAAAAAAAATTTTTTTTAAAGAACTGAAAACAGGGACTCAGATATGTGTACACCCATGTTCACAGCAGCATTATTCACAAGAGTCAAAAGATGGGATCAACCCCAATGTCTGTGGATAGATGAATAGATAAGCAAAATGTGCTATATGTATATCTAAATATAATGGAATATTACTCAGCCCTTAAAAAGGAAAGAAATTCTGACATAGGCTACAACATGGATAAATCTTTTTTTTTTTTTTAAGATTTCATTTATTTATTTGAGAGAGAGAGAGAGATCATGAGCAGGGGGAGCAGCAAGCAGAGGGAGAAGTAGACTCCCTGCTGAGCAAGGAGCCCGATGCAGGACTGGATCCTGGGACATGAGCTGAAGGCTGATGCTTAACTGACTGAGCCACCCAGGCACCCCAAACACAGGCATTTCTGAAGTCCACCTCAAATTTGCTGAATCAGAACCTTCAATATTTGGGCCCAGGAATCAGCACTCATAAAATGCCCACCAGCAACATGGATAAATCTTGATGACATTATATACTAAGGTAAATGAGCCAGTCACAAAAAGACAAAGACTCTATGAGTCCATTTATATGAGGTCCCTAAAGTAGTCAAATTCATAAAGACAGAAAGTAGATGGCAAGGTGGTTGCCAGGGGCTGGGAAAAGGGAAAATGGCGAGATGTTGTTTCATGGGTATAGTTCCAATTTTGCCAGATGGAAAAGCACTAAAGATTGCTTGGACCACGATGTGAATACACTTAATTGGACTGAGCTATACACCTGCTTGGTATTCTACCCAAATGAGTTTAAAACTTATGTCCACACAAAAACCTGACATAAACATAGCCGCTTTCTTCATAATTGCCGAAACCTGGAAGCAACCAAGATGTCCTTCAATAGGTGAATGGATAAATAAACCATGGTACCTGCGGACAATGGAACATTATTCAGTGCTAAAAAGAAAGGAGCTATCAAGCCCTGAAAAGACATGAGGAACTTTAATTGGGTATCATTAAGTGAAAGAAGCCAATCTGAAAAGGCTACATACTGTAGGATTCCTTCTATATGACATTCTGGAAAAGACAAAACTATGGATACAGTAAAAGATCAGTGGTTGGAGGTGGGTAAGGGGGAGGAAGAGATAGATGAACAGGTAGAGCACAGGAAATATTTAGGGCAGTGAAAATACTCTGTATGATACTATAATGGTGGATATATGTCATACATTGTTAAAACCCATAAAATATACACCACCAAGAGCCGACCTAATGTAAACTATGGCCTCTGGGTGATTCTGATGTGTTAGTGTAGGTTCATCAATTGTAGCCAATGTGTGACTCTGGTGCAGGATGCTGATAATGGGGGATAGCGTGCTATGTGGGAGCAGAGATCATATGGAAACTCTCTACTTTCTGCTCAGTTTTGCTGTGAACCTAAAACTGCTCTAGAAAACAGTCCATTAATAATTAGCAAGATGGTAAATTTTTTGTATATTTTACCACAATTAAATATTTTTTAATTTAATCATATCCTGATACATGATACAGCATAGATGAACCTTGAGGACATTATGCTAAGTGAAATAAGTCAGACACAGAAAGACAAAGTACTGTATGATTCTACTTATATGGGGGACCTACAGTAGTCAAATTCATAGAGACAGAAAGTAAAATGGTGGTTGCCAGGGCCAGGGTTGGGGGGATGGGCAGTCATTACGTAATGGATATGGAGTTTCAACTGGGGAAAAAGAAAAAGTTCTGTAAATGGATAGTGGTGACAGTTGAAGAATAATGTGAATGTACTTAATGTCACTGAACTATAAGCTTAAAATGGTTAAAATGTTGGGTACCTGGGTGGCTCAGTCGTTAAACGTCTGCCTTCAGCTCAGGTCATGATCCCAGGGTCCTGGGATCGAGTCCCACATCGGGCTCCCTGCTCGGCAGAAAGCCTGCTTCTCCCTCTCCCACTCCCCCTGCTTGTGTTCCTGCTCTTGCTATCTCTCTCTCTGTCAAATAAATAAATAAAATCTTTAAAAAAAAATGGTTAAAATGTTAAATTTTATATTATGCAGGTTTTGCCACAATTTTCTAAAAAAAGGAAGAGGCACACGAACACACACACAGGACCCTACAAGCTAACGATGTCCTATAGCAAGGGCTTCCTTTTGGATCTAAATATACTACCTTTATAGGGGCGCCTGGGTGGCTCGGTCGTTAAGCATCTGCCTTCGGCTCAGGTCATGATCCCAGGGTCCTGGGATCGAGCCCCGCATCAGGCTCCCAGCTCAGCAGGAAGCCTGCTTCTCCCTCTCCCACTCCCCCTGCTTGTGTTCCCTCTCTCGCTGTCCCTCTCTGTCAAATAAATAAAATCTTTAAAAATAAAAAATAAAAAAAAATATACTACCTTTATATATAAAAAGAAGTCTTGGGAGCCTGGGTTTAGGGAATATCACTGAGTCACCTTCTCACCTTTTAAACAATACAACTGGTAGATGAGACTGGTGAGATGAGATGAAGAAGCTCTAAGTTGGCTTGTGTTCCCCCAAATCAGAGCGCAAAATAAAGCAAATATGTGTGTGTTGTTGCTGAAGAATCTTTCCTTCGGTTAACCACTTTTTAAAGTGGATAATGCATCAGTCCCAGAGGGTACAGCAGGTGCTGCCCTGCAGCACACAGAGAAGGAACCCGATCAGTGTTTAAAGTAAACAAACACACAAACAAAAAACCAGCTAAAGAAAAATGACTGACATGTCATTGCTCACGAATAGCTCTGGTAAATTACAGCACAAAATATTAACATACAATATACGCATGCCACACTGCTCTGTATTGCCCAACACATAAAAATAGCAGCTGCAATCCATAACTGAGAACAAAACACTTCATCCATTGACTGAGTTTTAACTTCAAAGCCATCATTAAATATCTAAATTCCCTCCCCCCAAAAACAGCACTAAAAAATGTGTAATATGCACTGATCCATAGTTTTTTCTCTTACTTGTCCATTACCTTAAATATATTACCACAGTGTCATCAATGGCTATTCGAATGTTAAATGTTCCACCTTAAATAAGACGGATTTTTTTTTTTTTTTGTCAATTTACATCAGCAAACTAGAAAGAGAGAGGCGCCTACGATTTGCTACCTGGGCCTTAAGTAATCGTGATTCTCCAGCAAGTAAATGACTAATTCCCAGAACACCGTTTTTTCAGCTACCTCTCAATCCTAAAAAGGCAAGGAGGTTCCAGTCTGCAGTAACAAGAAATAGCAATTAACCTAGAAGCCTAAATATCATAGCATGGTCATAAGGAAACATGGAGAATCCTGCTTGCGGCGGGCGGCCAAGCACCCAGCGAGGCAGATCGCAAAGCCAAGCCTCCCGGGCGAGCCGGGCCCCCATCACTTCACCTGTCCTCCGGCCCGCCGAGCATCCAGGCAACTTCCTGTTTCCGCGCACGTGGCCCAGCGGGTCGGTCGGGGTTCGTCCTCAGGCGCAGTTAATTATCCAGGCTATGGGAGGGGTTGACGCCGCAGTAGGCGGAGCAGCTACACGGATGCGTGGTTAGCCTCTGCACAGCCCCTTCCTGGGAACAAATGCAGACGAGTGCTGGGGCAGCTGACGGACGGCCACCACCGTAGGCGTGCATGTCGCTAGCACTCAGTGGCACCCGCAGCATGCAGCTGTTTTGCAGTTCTAAAGCGATGCATCAAGAATCACATTTCGGGTCAGAGAAATCGGTAGATTTAGGGAAAAGACTTTCTCCGAAGTCTTTGTTTAACATTTATTTCCACACATCCACGTTTCTAATTCTCATTTTTTCGGGCGGTACAGGTGAGAAACCCCAGCCAGGAGGACCTAAGGCGCCGCATGGGGCACAGCCCTCAGCCAAGCACCTGCTGCTAGCCCAGCGCCGCAAGTCAGGCCTTCTCCCCGCCCTGGCTGCCGCGCCCAGGTACCCAACGGTTTTGGACTCAGGACAAGTTCCATCATCTGGGGGGATGTTAGGCAAATATTTAGAGCTAAAACAAAACATTAGTTTAAAACCTTTTGCCAAAGGAAGGAACTGAAGCTAATGATCCAGGTAACATCATAGAAGGAAAGGAAACCTCCAGTGGTATTTAAGGAGCTCCAGGCCCCTGTTGCCCTGCCCTCTGGCCCACCACTGGGGTCTGGGAAAGCACTTCTTTTTTTTTTTTTTTTCATTTTTTTTTTTTAGATTTTATTTATTTATTTGAGAGAGAGAGAGCTCATGAGAGGGGGGAGGGTCAGAGGGAGAAGCAGACTCCCTGCTGAGCAGGAAGCCCGATGTGGGACTCGATCCCGGGACTCCAGGATCATGACCTGAGCCGAAGGCAGTCACTTAACCAACTGAGCCACCCAGGCGCCCTGGGAAAGCACTTCTGAAAGGCCACCTTCACCCAGGAAACTGGAAGATGCAGTTTCCATCACCAACTCGTGGCCCATGGGAGAGTGGTGTGGCCAGGGGCCACTAACAAGCAGGAGAGAGAGGGGATGATGCGGAAGGAGCATCCGAAGATGTGGATGAGTCCCAGGCCAGGCGACCAGCACTGAGATACAGGAGCAAGAGTTCTGGGAAAAGCCAGGGGATTCGTTCTGGGAGAGTGCTCTAGCACAGCTTGGCAGCTTGGCTGCTTCATTTCAGTGAGCTCCTCAGGCTTGGTGGCTGGAGCCCAGGCTTATGTCGGCAAATGCACGGATGCTGGAAAGCATTTGGTCACTGTATTACATCAAGCAATGTAATGTATGGAGAGGCCCAGAGGGGTTGGGTGGGGGAGAAGCTGCTTAGTCTATTTCCCATGTCTGCAGGCTTGGTGCAGGGGTGCAGTCTCTGACACGTGCACCTGCCAGGTGGTCTGCCCCGGCTACCGTAAGCACCCGGGTCCCCCCAACACGCCCCATCCCCTCCTCACAGCTCTCAGCCTCTTCCGTTTGCTCAGTCCTCCCCAGGCCCTGTCTTGGTTCCTCCTGGCCTTCAGTGTATGTGGCCATCATCCTCTGCCAAGTCTCCTTTCAGTTGCTCCTTGGGACAGAGGGGAAGGATTGGGAAAAGGCTCAGGAAGTGGCCTTTGGTTTTTCAGCATGGAGGAGGAGAGGGAAGAAACGCCCTCAAGTGATCTGCCCTCCAGGCAGTCCCTGACTCTCCCTACTCCTCTTCACCCATTCTGCTCAACCCCCAGCCCCTCCTCTCTGGCAACCATCAGTCCTGTTCTCTATATTTATGGCTTTGTTCTGTTTTTTGTTTTATTTTTTAGATTCCACATATAAGTGAAATCATATGGTCTTTGTCTTTCTCTGTCTGACTTATTTTACTTAGCGTAATACCTACTAAGTCCAACCATGTTGTCACAAATGGCAAGATCTCATTTTTTTTTTATGACCAATATTCCATTGTATGTATACCACATTTTCTTTATCCATTCATTTATAGATGGACACTTGGGTTGCTTCCATATTTTGGCTATTGTAAATAAATCTGCAATAAATATAAGGGTGCATTTCAAGCTAGTGTTTTCATTTTCTTTGAGTAAATATCTAGTATTACTGGATCATCTGGTAGTTCTATTTTTTTTTTTTTGAAGAATCCCCACACTGTTTGCCACAGGGGCTGCACCAGTTTGCATTCCCACCAACAGGGTTCCTTTTTCTCCACATCCTCAACAACACTTGTTATTTCTTGTCTTTTTTATTCTAGCCATCCTGACAAGTGTGAAGTGAGATCTCATTGTGAGTTTTATTTGCATTTCCCTGATGATGAGTGATGTTGAGCATCTTTTCATATGTTTGTGAGCCATCTGGATGTCTTCTTTGGAAAAACGTCTATTCAGGTCCTCTGCCCATTTTTAAATCAGATTATTTGTTGGGGGGGTGTGTGTGTATGTGTGTGTATGTAGAGTTGTATAAGTTATTTATATATAGTTGGGTTATATTTTTAAAAGATGTCTTTCCATTACTCAGGAGGCATCAGGCTCTAGGCTTATTGATGGCATTGTTGCCTTGGGTAAGATGATACCAACCAGTCTCCAACCCGAACTGAGCGGCAATCATTGGAGTTCAGAACAGCCCAGGAGTTTCCGGGCCACAGAAGGAATGTGAAGAGCCTGGCTCTTAGTGGAGAGGCAGCTATGTGTGCTCTTCCTCATAAGGAACCCAAGTTCCAGCTGTAGACAGGACAAGCTATCATCCAAGAGGAACAGAACTGTGCCTGCAGATGCCCATGCACCCAAGATACAAAGCAACCCTTTTAAAAGTATTTAAGATCAGCACTGAAAGCCTCCCTAGGGTCCATTTTTCTTCTGAATATTCACTCTTCCAAGCTGGTGTCACAGATGTTGAATGTCACCCATGCCCACAGATGGAACGTCCCCACTATGCAGGCAGTTCTAGACATCTAGTCTGACTTTTTTTCTGTCTGTTCTGCTTCTCTTAACTGCTCGGAGGGATTCTACATTAATGACCCATTGACAGCTCATGACCAAAACCAAAATCATGATTTTCACCTCAGCTCTCTTTATCTTTCCTGCCTTATAGTTGTTAAGAATATTCACTCAAGCTGAGGACCTCAGCGAGTCTGAGACTCGCTCAGGCCATTGAGTCCAGCAGGTGTCTCTCTGGGCCAGTCCCCTAAACCTCTGCTCTTCTCGTCCTGCGGCTCTGCCCCCACCCTCCTCCTGGCTTACTGCAGCCGCCCCTTTGTGGGCTTGCAGGCTTCCACTCTCCATCCATCCTCTCTACTCCAGGAGTTTCCAGATCTTTCTGAGGATCAGAATCAACAGAAAGCTTTAGAAAGCTATAGATTTCTGAAGCCTACGAGACTCAACCATCAGATCATATATACCTAGGGCCCAGAAATACCCTTTTTTAACCAGTGCCCAGCTGATTCTGAACTATTGGTCATGGATCTGTGTTTAAGGACAGTACATCTAATCATTAGAATCATCTCCAGCTCTTGTCAAAAAATAGAAACTCTGGACTCCCCAGGACTCTTACTTAGGAGGCCAGGGTCTACAAATCTTTATGTATTTAAGTACTTTCAGATGATTTTGACAATGGGCCAGGTTTGAGGATGTTCCCTTTCCATCCTGCCCTCGAGGAGGTCTGGCCAGATGACTCTAGAGCTAAGGTATCATGAGAACATATAGAAGATGCACAATAAATGTGGGCTCTGCCATCCTTCCAGCCAAGTTGGCTCCAATGTTCTGTCCTCACCACCCCCGTGAAAGGGATGTCTAAAGCAACTGAGGAACTAGAGCTCGAGAGATGGAAGGTAGGGGTCCATTTCCTGTCATTCACTTCCTGATCAGTTATATCTGCTCAGGCGTTACTCAAATGCCCATTGGAAAAACTAGGTCAAGTTTACTGAGGAGAGTGAAGTATGTGTGCAGCCTTATAAAAATGATGGCTGACAAGCGAAGACTCCAGGCCCAGAACCAAATAGCCAATAATTGGAAATGTCTGGTCAGCCTCCTTAATAAATGACAATCCAGGAGACATAATCGGTGGCCCCAAGTTTGGTCTCAAAGACAACTAGAAAAGGCGGCGAGTCTCCCCCTTGGAATGGGTTCAGTAACACTAAGAAGACTCTCACACCTCACATGAAATCATTCTCCTCCCACTGGATTATACCAGAGAGATTTTGAAAAGCAAACATAAATTTTTCTACCCTTAGCCAGAGCGAATTCCTACATGCCAGCACCATCAGGAAACCTAGCACATTGCCTTGAAGTTATGCCGAGGACTGGATGGATCATCTCGGAGAGTCTCTTTTGATATATGGAGGGCAGAGGAGTAGAAAATATGAGAGGGTGAGAGTGGAAAATTCTGGAGTCCCCAGGGCAGGACATCACCTGGAATGATGCCCAGAGCACCTGGGCCAGGGTGAAATGCTTCTATCCCTTAGCCCCACCTTGACCTGCCTACACGATGGCATATTCAACCAAATACACAAAACGTGGGGACCAAGATGGCTTTTTAGCAAGTCTAAAACAAAGCAAATCATAAGGACATATGCTTCCAAGTGTGGAAATATAGCTGCTTAAAATCTGACCAAATAAAATTAGTTTTCATCTACTAGCTGTTTTTCGTAAAGCATCCATCTGTTTATATTTTTGGTACAATCTCAATCACAGCAAAGTTCTTTCTTGGGAAAATTTTACGTCCATGAATGTTGTTCCATCTCCATGTAGGAAGGCTTTGTGCAAAACCAGAAATGGATTGAGCTGTGGAAAGTTCTGGGGTAAACTCCATGGACTCCTGGTGCTTCTGGCTAGCAGACGGCTCAGCTGGGCTACTCTGTGCAGCATGCTGTCTCCGCCCTGGCGCAGGGGAGCTGCCCAGAGCCTGACCTCTGAGGTTGCCAGCTCGCATGCAGAGCGCTCTGGGGGCCAGGCCATCCTAAAACACTAATGACGCATTAGGGAACAGCACGGCAGTAGCATTAAATGATGGATGATGCTGCTTCATGGCCCAGACTGAAGCATGGCCGTGAAATATTAATGAACCTTGCAGATGGCTGCGTCTCTCGTGGTTCGGCACTGCCCTGAGCCCGCAGCGGTTCATAGCAAGCAGCTTTTGTCCTGCATGGCACTTGGGACAAGGGACCGTGAAAACATTAAAAAAAAAAAACAAAACAAAACAGAAACAACAACATCAACAAACAAAACAAAACAAAACAAAAAACAGAAAACACAATAATGCCGGAAGACAGAGAAAAAAATCCTCTGATGCAAGTCGCTATACTAAAATCAAAGCCTCCAAGCAGAATGGATAGAACAAGGACCGTTGCAGAGAGCAGTCACCTGAGGAGCTTAACCAGGCCACCAGGCCACCTCCCCACAATGGGGTCTGGCAGAAAGAACACACTGGAGTCAGGCAGGCTTCAAAGAAACACCAAAGCAGGATTGGGCCAAAAGCTTCACAAGAAGGTGGTATAAACATGAATCCTCAGACTCGGGATTGATGTATGGGATCCCTCATGAGAATCACCTAGGATTCTCTAGCTACTCTGTCAGGGTATTGGTTGCACTGCTCAGGAATGACTTAGGGAGTTTTGCTTGATGTGCACACGGGGCCACAGTGAAGGTATGTGATCGGTGAACAAGCCGGGCCAATCTCCTTGGCGTATGAAGAAATACAGTGGAGAGGAGCAGGAGGGAAAAGAGAAACGGGGCCTTGGTTTTCAAGCTGAGGGCATCTCCTCAATGGGAAATCGTCAGTCTCAAGGCACAGTGTGTTTCATGGCGCAGTCCCCTGAGCCCTCCAACCCACTGTGAAGGCCAGCCACAGTCCCACTTCCTCCCCTGTCACGGGACCAGTTCAGCTTTCATCCCGGCGTATATGCTGCAACGGTATCTGTCCTCTTTTGCCTCGGATTATTAGGTTTTTATGGGATGGAATCTATGTAGTGTTAATGCTTTTATTAATAAGTGTATACTCAGCGACACTATTTACATTCGTAAGGCTTTGTAGACAGCACTACCATCTATATCCAGAGCATTTCCATCCTAAGTAACCTCTGTACCCATGAAAAATGACTGCTCCTCCCCCCTTCCTCCCTCCGTCCTACTTTCTACTTTCTGGGTCTACGAATTTCCCTACTCTCGCTTCCTCAAAAAGTGGGATCGTGTAATACACGTCTTTCTGTGCGTGCCTTCTTTCAAAAAGCATCTTTGTTTTTCAAGGTCCATCCATTTCGTAGCATATTGAATACTTTAGTTTCTTCTTATGGCTGAATAGCATTCCATTATGTGTACGTATCTCATTTAATGTGTCCTTCCCTCACAGGATGGCTTTTGGGGTTGTATCTGTCTGGCTACTGGGAATACTGCCGTCTCGAACATTGGTGCACAGATTTCTGTCTGTTACCGGAACGGGAATACTTGACAATTATGCATTTGTCAAACGTGTAGAATGGGAAACACAAAGAAAGTATTTTAATGTAAACTGTGGACTTTAGTTCTTAAAAAGTTTGAGGTTGTTTCGTTAATCATAAGGTATATTGTACACACATGTAAGATGTGGTTAATGGAGAAAAGTGGAGGGGTGGGATATGGAAACTTCCTGTCTTATCTGTTCCAATTTTATTTTAATCTAAACCGGGTCAAAACATTGTCTCCTACTTACTAAAAATCTAGAAACAGTTTCATGGAGAGATCTATATTGACTTGTGTTCAAAAAATAGCTAAGGTCCCTATATTCCGCTCAGGGACTCTTTTTTTTTTTTTTTTTTTATGTTATGTTAGTCACCATACAATACATCATTAGTTTTTGATGTGGTGATCCATGATCCATTGTTTTCGTATAACACCCAGTGCTCCATGCAGTACGTGCCCTCCTTAATACCCATCACCAGGCTAACTATCCCCCCTCTCCTCTCCCCTCTAAAACCCTGTTTCTCAGAGTCCATAGTCTCTCATGGTTCATCTCTCCCTCTGATTTCCCTCCTTTCATTTTTCCCTTCCTTCTCCTAATGTCCTGCATGCTATTCCTTATGTTCTGCAAGTAAGTGAAACCATATGATAATTGACTTTCTCTGCTTGACTTATCTCACTTAGCATAATCTCCTTCAGTCCCATCCATGTTGATGTAAAAGTTAGATATTCATCAGGGACTCTTTTTTCCTATGACACATGGATCCGGTTTCAGGGAGAAATTAATCTTGACTTCTATACTTAATGGTGATGGACTTAATAAATTTATATCTGTATCTATGAAATAATAGAAAAATGTGTCTCAGCATTTTTATACTCTTCTGTTATGTCTATGTTATTGAATGAAAGACTTATTCTTAAATCAACCTAATGAGTAAATTTCCACAGTACCTTCCTCGCTATACCCGATTGGGTACACCTGGTTATGGAGAGAGAAGAAAACTCTTTTCCTTCTCCGTTGGAAGTGGCCAATGTGGTTGTGGGGGGTTCCACAGCTTTAGGCTGATCTTCCACACAAAGTTCTAGGAAAAGCAAGGAAATAGAGAGCAGAGTTGGCATCTTGCTGTCAGTAGACCATAGGGGAATTAGACATTATAGGTACTCCTAGTTCAACCTTTGGCTCCCCATACTCAGCAACTCCTCAGCAGACATTCCTCCCTCAAAGTTGGACTTAGGAAGATGTTGCAGTGTGGTGTGCACTGAAAACTGACAGTTGTTGTGGGCAACTACGGTTATTTAGCAGATATAATAGAAACACAGCAAAGCACAGTGACCACACCTGATGGCCTGGATTCACATCCCATTTAGCAGCCACACCTACCTGAGAGAGTTACCCCGAGTTCATTCCACCTACCCGATGGCACGGTCCCTTCTCGTTCACTCCCAGGCATCATCCAGACAGCCAGTGAACCCTTCCACATCAACCCATGAAAATACCACAAGATATTCCAGTTTCTCTCCTTCTAAAAATGTCTGGATTTAGACTACTCACAGTAGCTTCCAGATTTTGTCATCCACTTTGAGAAGAGGTGACTTGTAACTCCTTTCCCTACAATGTGTTGCTGGATGGCATCAAGATTCTCCTGATCCAGTGAGAGCAGTGTGGTGTGTTCCCTGTGTGCATTCTCGGTATGACTATGTATGAAATTGGCATTCAGAAATAGTATAGTTTTCTGAATTTAGAAGCTATTTAAGGAAGCCAGCTTCATTGAAAAATTGAAAGTAACTAATACGGAAAACCTAGAATATTCATCTATCAGTGTGGACAGATTGGAAGGTGGACATGAAAAGAAAAAAAAGGAAAGAAATTTCTCTAGAAGTGAGGCAGCCACCTTGAGAAAAGAGAATTCAGAAAATCCATATGAACATACCTGTAGAACAGCAATTCAGGTTGCCCATCGTGCGAACCTTCACACCTGTTACCAAACTGCAAGGGCTCGGCTCACAGAGTGACAGTTGAAATGGAAGGAACGGTTGCATCATTGGTCACCATGGCAATGGGTCATGACAGAACTTTCAGAGTGAAAGCAGCTCTGCACACTGTGGGTTGATGGAAAGAAGTGGGTCTGGGATGGGTAGATGGACGATGGGTATGAAAGAGGGCACTTGTTGTGATCAGCACTGAGTGCTGTATGTAAGTGATGAATCACTGAATTCTACTCCAGAAACCAATAATGCACTGTATGTTAACAAACTAAAATTAAAAAAAAGAAAGAAAGAAAAGATACCCCTGGAGGGGGCACATTGACTTAAAATTTATATCTGCTATTCTCTAAAACTGTTAATAAAATACTGTTTAAAAAAGTCTTTCCTGGGGTGCCTGGGGGGCTCAGATGATTAAGCGTCTGCCATCGGTTCCATCATTATCCCGTAGTCCTGGGATTGAGCTTCACATGAGGATCCCTGATCAGAAGGGAGCCTACTTCTCCCGCTGCCCCTCACCCCACTCATGTTCTCTCTCTCTACCTATCAAATAAAAAAATAAATAATTTTTTGAAAAAGTCTTTTCTACAGGGCCCCTCTCCCCAGAATGGCCCTGTTTTCCTTCCAGGAGCCCCTTGGAGCCAAGGATGACAATTAGTGATGTTCTCTCAGGTGGACTGCCTGAGCCATGCAAACATATCTCCCTCATATTCCAATAAATTTCATTAATTTCGTTTTGAGATTTCCTTTTCTCTGGGGGCAGAAAAATATTCTTTGGAAACACTGGATTGCTCTTGCATTTCAGATTTTAAAGGCGTTTTGTGCATTGACCTCCCTCTCTCCTGCCCTCCATCCTGAATTCCAGGTCTGTAATGAGGGTAGTTCTGTGTGGACAGTGGGTCCTCGCCACCACTGGATGGGGCCTCCCGTGGCGTGCGTGCAGGTCATGGGTCCACACTACTCTTGCAAGGGGAGTCCTTACATGGACTCATGAGATGAGGCAGGTCACGTCTGTGCAGGACCCTCTTGGCTGCAAAGGTCAATCTGTGTGCACTCCGAGTGGTTGGATTCAAAGCCTCTCTGCTGGTTTCACCCCTTGTCCATCCACTCCCTTGAGCTGTCATGCAGGGGGCCACATACATTTTAACCACCTGCGGGACTGGCCACATGCTCTGTGTGGTCCCTTGCAAAGTGAAAATTCGGAACCCCTTGTGCAAAAAGCTGGGAGAAATATGCAGTTCCAGGCAGGAAATATAAAGTGTATTTCTTAAAAATGTTTTATGACTTATGAAACAGAACAGGATTGGAAAAAACATGAGTAACAGAATCAATTTACACATTACAAAACAATCTTTTTGCTTCTTTAGGTAATGCAATCCTACCATTGTTTTTTCCAAATGATATCTAAATAAATCATTTTTCTGGCACAGTTTTATAAAAGTTTATTATGTCATTTCATGTATACTTTTAAGAACTTAATTTTTTAATAATATCATCACGTAATCTCCATCACTTTGGCAAATGTCAGATAACAACTAATTTTAATTTATGATTTTGAGAGGATTTTTTGTTGTTGGGGGTGTGATTCCTAGTATAGCTATTTAGAGTACCTGATAGGCCATGATGGATGACATTGGATGGATTTCTGACGTGATGTCAAAATAAAAATTTTATTTAAGACATCCAGAGCTGATTCCTGTGAAACAAATTTTCCAAAAAAATTTAACTGTAAACAACGTCAAGAATCTGAATTTAACTTGATGTGTACTTTGGCATTTTAGTGTTTCCTCTGATATGTGCCATGAACTGATAATGTATAAATAGCCAAAGCTGGCTTTCCATTTGTACATAATTCCTGTCAATCAAGAAGTACATGCTGTAAAACACCTGAAACTTCAATGTGGGGTATTAGGGACTAATCCTAATTATTCTGGGGTGATGCACATAATATAACCATACAATAAAAAATTAATCCACTGGGAGATTCCTGAAACAGATCACCTGGGCACAATTCTGCTGTGGGAGATCTTGGGAGGCTCTCTGGGAGGGGGCTGAACCCCCATCTGAAGAACACATTCAGGGTAACTGGGGTACACCCTGGGTCATGACTGGGGCAGGCAGTAGGGGAGAGGATGTCTCCTGCATAGGAATTGCATATGCATGGAATCAGGAGGTGATGAGGCAAGTCTGAGGAGGAGGCCAGGGGAGGCCAATAAAACCAGAGCTTTTTCTCAAGCAACTGACAATTTATCACCAAACAAGGAAAGTGCAGGATGTGCACGCTGCTTAGACAGAACTCAGGGTGCAGAGTCAGTCCAAATCCACAGGAATGCTGTCATGAGGCTCAGACTTCCATGACATGAGGTTCAATGAGAATTCAAGACCTCCCCAGCCACGTGCCACACACACATCTGAATGATATTGATGTTTACAATGGTCAAGAAAACAGGAGGACAAACATCAGCCACATCCTCTTGAAGGCTGAGGAGAGCCTTTGGGCACTGGGGACAATTTTGCATGTATTTTTTTTGTTGTTGTTATTTTTTAAAGTTTTGAGATTTATTTTATTTAATATTTACTATTATTTATTCAAGTACTATGTTAAAATATAAAATCTCCCAAACATTAAAGACATTCCAATTAATTAAAGGATAATAGACACATCCTGAGCTACCTCCCTGGCAAATCTTGTAGATATGTAGAAGAAATAGATTTATGCAAGTCAAAAATTCTCAGCCTGTGCATTCTTTTTGATTATGAAAGCTATTATTAACCACAGTTGCGTGTATTTTAAAGATACAATGTGGATTTACAATGACTGGAAGCTTTACATCCTATCTTAGAATCCCTGCATGTGTTCTTGTTTCTTTTCCATAAAGTGCAAGCCTTATCAACATACTATTTGATGAAACATCCATGGCCAAAAATAGTTATTCAAATATATTCCAAAACAGCTCTTTGACTGTGAGGATGAATTAAATAAATCTATAAATGCAAGAAAGCATATATAAACAAAACATCAAACTCCACCACTCTAAAACCATACCTACAATAAGTTAAAACGGTTTTTAAGTCAGAGGAGGAATACAACACAACACAACTCTGTCCAGCAATGTAGTTCCAATGGTAGGATGTTGTCAATATCAGCCAGCTTAGGTCATAATATTCAGTATAGGATTTTTAAGACAACTTCTTTTAAACAGACACTCACCTCTATTTTTACGTTGAATGTCATGTGTGCGACCTAACAGTCTCACACGACTGCATGAAGAGTTTCATCTGAGACATATGTTCTGTTGACCCCAGGGATCATCAGTCACAATCATGGCCTGAGAATATTCAAGAGAATAGGATGTGGTCACTGACTAAGGTGACAATGGCATTTAGAGATTCTCTCTTCCAAGAGAGCAATGGAGGAAACTGGCAACAATGGTCCCCATCTGTATTTTCAGAACTCTGGCAATTAACCAGAACCGGCAGCAGTAGAGGGAACATCGACTCCAGGAAACCAAAACCAAAAAACAGCTGAATCACAGAAGCATGAGATTTCTGCCATTATAACTTGTCCTGGTCCCAGTCCCTGCCCCGCGGGTCCACGGAAGTTCAGAAAACTAAGAGCCACGTTCACAGTCAAAGTCAACAAGGTGGCAGCCACTGGAGGGAGCAGAGCAGGGCTGGAGCCCCCACAACACCTCCCTCCTAGAGCCTGATCGCTAATGGGCCAATCTGATGGGTCTCTGTAAGACCCCATCTGTTCAACTGTCTGTATTCAATCTGACTTGGAAGCTGCCCAGAATAACAAGTCTTTCCCTGGCATAATAGTAAAAAATTACATAAAACAAAAAGAATACAGGCAACTGTTCAACTTGTGGTTGTTTAATGTGAGGGATAACAACTGGTGCAAAAAACAGACTCACAAAAACCTTAAAAGAAGAGCTGAAGAGTGAGGTTTCCATAGGGGCTTTGAGAAGCCCCAACTTCTTCTCAGGAATCTAGAACATGCACCAGTGCAGGGCTGTGTGCGTGCTCAGGAGAGACCTGACAAGGCCACACACTGGCACCTTGGGCTGAGCCTGAAGCTGTGCACATGCAGGAAGGGAGGCTTCCGGCAGAGTTCTCAGCTGCTGGCTCAGTGTGCAAGACACGGCCCCACATGCCCAGGGAGCCCTCGGCACAGCCTGAGCCGCTCCTCCATTCGAGGCTGCTAATGCGGTCTCTGCCCAGACACTGGTGACCACCCAGCAGCCAAGCAGGACCTACAGTGGTCACATGTGAGCGAGATGACAGGCTTGGAGAATTAGTTCAGAAGGGTCACTCACAAGAAAAGAGCAATGAGGGGTGCCTGGGTGGCTCAGACATTAAGCGGCTGCCTTTGGCTCAGGCCGTGGTCCCAGCGTCCTGGGATCGAGCCCCGCATCAGGCTCCCTGCTCTGCAGGAAGGCTGCTTCTCCCTCTCCCAGTCCCCCTGCTTGTGTTCCCTCTCTTGCTGTCTCTCTCTCTGTCAAATAAATAAATAAAATCTTTAAAAACAAAAGAGCAATGACAAAAAATAGCGGAAACAACAAATCTTGGGGAAGCATAGGAATCTGATACCCAGAGTTGCCATGTTCTATTATTTTAAGCCCAGTCTATACTCCCCTGCCCCTGGGATGATGATGATGATGATGATGATGATGACGACGACGACGACGACGACAACAACAATAGATCTACAAGAGAAAAAGGAAGTCTGGTTCTATGCACAAAAGTGTTGGCAAAGCAGGACTAAGATTGCTTTCCTGACACAGGCCTGCCTGCTAGACTGGCTGTCAGCAAAGTCCAGCTGTAGGAGGGGCTCTTCTCTCTACGAAAGAGCTAGGGAATTTTCTGACTTTGCCTTTTTCCAGCTTTTGGTATTTTCTGAAAACTCGGGGCTTCCCTTGGCTTACAGCTGCTGTACTGCCATCTTTGTCATTCCATGTCCTTCCCTCTTGTGTCTGTGTGTCCAAAACTACCTGTTCCTGTAAGGACAACAGCCATTTGATTAGGGCCCACTCTAGTCCAGTGTAACTGTATCTCAACTAGATTATATCTGCAAAGACCTGATTGAGACTATGGCTCTCATATATAATTTGGGGTGACAATTTACATCCACAACGGGGCTTAACAGCAGATGTGAGCAGGAGGAAGACAGAACCAGTAAATTTGAACATAGGTCACTTGACATCCAGTCTTATGAACAGCAAATTTAAAAAACTAAGAGCAGGGGAGGAAAATGAACGGAGTCCCAGAGACCTGTGTATTACTTACAAGCATCCCAACACAGGCACAAGACAGTCCCCAGAAAAATAAAAGAAAGAAAGGGATAGTGAGAATACATGAAGGAATAATAGCCCAAATCTCACCACATTTCATTCATCTCAACATTTAAGAAGTTCAACAAAGATGGAGAGGAATAATCCACCTCATAGTAAAATGGTTCCAGGCCAAAGTTAAAGCAGAATCATGGAAGCCACAAGAAAAGGACCTCCTGGTGTACAGAGGGTCCACAGTAAGGTGAATGACTAATTTTCATCAGAAGCCACAGAGGCCAGAGGCAGCAGGGTGGTGACACATGAGAGCTGCTGCAAGAGAAAATTGGTCGAGCGACAAATGTTCATCTAGCACAGACCTCCTTCAGTAATGAAGGACATTTCAAGACGTTCCCAAACAAACAGAACCTGAGAGAACTCTCAGCTGTCAACAGCCCTGCAAGAAACATTAGGGGGGGTCTGTCAAGTGGAAAGAAAAAGACAACAGAGTAACTCAATTTTCCATGGAGAAATAGTTACAGAGATTAATATACAAGCAAGTAAAATGTATAAGTGCATAAAATGTATCTGGGATAAATGCATAAAATATATTCTTCTGATTTACAAGGATACTCAATGCTGAACTAATGAATCATTGAACATTATATCAAAAACCAATAATGTACTATACCTTGGCTAATTGAATTTAAATAAAAAATATTATTTTCTTCTGATTTACAAGGACACTACATGAAGTCAATATAAATTGGTGTTGATCAGCTTACAATGTCGAAATGGAGTATGTAGAACAATAATGGCAAAAGGAGGGGATATTGATTGACTAAAGTTTCTGTATGTCTTGGAAATTAATCTGGTATTAATCCAATTAGAATGTTATAAAGATGCTAATTGTAATGCCCAGGAAAGCTACTAAGAATATAAGCCAGAATACACAGGGAAAACAACAACATGGGGATTTAGTTAATACTCTGGGACATAACATCAAGAACAGCAGTAATGGAGGCATGTGAGAACAAAAAAATATATAACACACATAGAAAACAAATGGAAAAAGGACAGATTGCAATGCTACTTGAAAAGTAATTAACTTAAATTGACATGGATTACACCCTCCATTAAGAGGCAGAGCTTGGCAGTGGGGATAAAAATCTGCAGTCTCTATGCTCTCTACAAGAGTCAGCCTTTACATCCAGGAAAAAAGGAGGTTGAGGGTTAAATGATGGGAAACTAGGCACCAAGCAGATATTAATCTAAGATAACACCTACGCCAGTTTTGTTAATCTAAGACAAAGGTTACGATATTTTTTACACAGAGAAGGACAATGACTAGTACTAAAAGTGGCCACTCTTCAAGGAGATAATTATGATCATTTCATACTTAATGAGAGGACTCCAAAACACATGAAAGGGAAGGAGATAACTGAGGAGCGGGACAGACCCTCAACGGGAACGGCTGGAGACTTCAATACTTGACTTCCGACAGTGCAGAGATGGTGATTTCTTACTCTGCTCACATCAGCACTGTGGGGTAGGCAGGAGAGTGGATGGGGGCCATACTTTATGGTGCAGGGCACGGAAATTTGGAGAGATTAAGTGATGTGCTCAGGGTCGCAGTGACGATGAGGGAGGGCTCTGGGGCAGAGGATATGGATGGTTCCCTGATCACCCAGATACAAGGTCACGCCCTGCACACCGAACCAAGCCCCATCCTCAGTCCCAGGTGCACATCCTCCTACCCAACACTGTCACAAGGGGTCAGCTGGTGCCCCAAGGGGGTGATGGCCCAAGACAATGGCTCAACTCCTGAGCAGTCCCCTGGCTCTACACTTCAGTCCCTGACACCAACACTATGCCTTTTTCTCAAATGAAGACCCTCTGATGGATTGGGGGGACCCAAACATGTCTCCAGCTCCCCCTCACTTACCTCTGCAGCCCCAGAATTGGATTCTCTCCACTGCCCTGCAGTGAGAATTCCCAGGGTGCCGGTGCCCACCCTGAATGACCAGTAGTCTTCTTAAATCCCAAATGGCTCAGAACCCAGGACGTTCCAAACCAACTGCACACATGACAGTTGCTCAGAGAAATAGCTTCATCTTCAACGGACCACACTTGCTTGTGGAACAGTTAATGAACTAGGAGGGGGCTGCCCAGGCTGGCCCTTCAGTGGCTAATGCATGACGTCTTCCAGCCCCCATGTCTCCTAGACGAAGATCTGACCCACTCTCTGTGCAGCCTGGACTAAGGCCTTTTGAGCATGGGAAGCAGCTGCACGGGTTCTGAGTGTCCTTCCCCGCTCCTTCCTTCCTCCCCACACCCACTCTCTGCTGCACAAACTGCATTTCCTTCTCTTGAATCTACCAACTGATTCACACCCACAGTACCTTCGACGTCGTAGTCAGTGGAAGTGATTTGCATGACTCTCCCCCATCATTTAGCCAGATGCCCATGTGGGTGCTGCTGAACCACGGATGGTGACAGCCAGGAAAATTTCTTGGCTGTAGATGATTTTGCTCTGACTCCCCGATTTGAACCCTTTATGATATTTTCCCTCTTCTAACCTGAGCCACGATCCTGGAAAATACACCAAAAATAGAACCGTTGAAAGAAATATAGGGGTGACTGCCCCCCAGAGAGGAAACGTCGATGGCTACAGGGCAAAGGAGGGTGGAAGGTGGCCTTTCAGCATTTACATGGGCACGATGCATTACCGCTCATGGAGAATATCTGTCATCATATCCTCTCCTCTGCCATCATCCCTGTGGGATGCAGGGGCTAGGGGCTATGCCCCCTGTTTTGTGGTTCATGGCACTGAAATGCAGAGTGGTTAAATGGTTTGCCCAGAGGCACAGTGCAATGACAGATGGGTCAGGGAGAAAGAAGAAGTTGGTTATCTGGAGACAGAGATCCCTGAACCCCCTGAGTCCTCTAGCTTATGTGCTCGACTTCTGAATTCAGGGTTCCCCTCCCTCCTTTCCCCAAATTTCCCGCCCAGAAAAGGGCACTGGCCTGACCCAGCCTCCACCCCTACGTGTCAATCCCTGCCTGAATCTGAAGCCATGATGTTTTGCTGAAAGGAAATGCCTGGAACGGCAGGGAGGCCAATCTGTGTCCCTCTGCCCCAGCATCTTTACATGCGAGACTGAGCTCCTGAGGGTCTGACTCGTGGTCTACTCACAACCACCCCCTTGTCTCCACTTTGTGGTCACACGCAAGAGCAGGCCCCCCACGTTTTTGGAACGTTTTCCTGAAGTGACAACAAGTCCATCGGGGAAGCGATGGAGAGCACGGGCACAAGGCTGTCTTCCCCTTTTCATGCCAACCTCACCACACTGGTATTTCCTCCTCTTGTTCTAACTTTCAAACTGCTTCCTCTTACTTCTTCTCTTAAGTCGATGGAAAGGAAGCTTCTTGAGAGCTGAAAGCAAAAGCAGCCTGGAGCATGACCAGTGCCACCCAGGCAGGAAACAGCCAATTGGGGGCCCCAGGAAGATCCTCAGTTCCCAGAGCTCCTCCTCCCTGCTGAGTCCAAACCCCGCTGCCCACTGGGCTATTCAGGGCTGCTCCCCAGACTCAGGGGTGCAGACCCAGGGTCTGGGGCCAGGGCGACACTAGCTAGAAAGGGGCCGAGAAGGGCTGCAGAGAAGTTTCCTGGACACTGCAGATGCAGGGCCTCAGTGCCCACAGGAGACCAGATCCTTCAGGGTGGGCATTAGAAAAGGAGGGGGTGGGGAAGAGCTAGGAAGAGAGGTGCTCATGGGCAGCAGAGAGAGGAAGTGCAAGAGCTGGGAGGAGGAAATGAATGACAGGCACAGCGATGCTCCCTGTCCCTGAGCCTAGAAACTCTGCAAAGTGATCCTGCGCATGGACAATTGCAGGGCGGCCCGGGTGGGTCTGGGAAACAACAGGGACAGTCAGGCTTGAAGTGGGTGCTCTGCCTCATTGCCCCTGGCAGGACAGAGGCTGACCTCTAGGTAGACGCAGGGTCCACCTGACTGTCCCAGGAGCCCTGACCCACTGCTTCCTACCTGAGTGCACTTCTGATGTTGAGTTACAAATGCATCTTGACTTCTGTAGTGATGCTAATGATGCACTTAATAAATTTGCTCACATGAAATAGAAAACATGAGGCAGCATCTTTGTAGTTTTCTCGTAAGTATTCAACACTGAAGAAACCATAGTAGCTATTCTTGAGGTAATGAGTAAATTTTCACAGCACCTTCCTCGGTGTTCCCGATTGGGAACATCTGATTATGGAGAGAAAAGTGGACTCTTCCTTCTTTGTGTGGAAGGGGCTGATGTGGTTGCGGGGGGCTGCACACCTTCAGGCTGATCGTCCACACAGAGTCCCGGGAACTGCACAGAAATAGAGAGCAGTGTTGGCATCTTGCAGGCAGAAGACCACAGGGGAATCAGACATAATTTACTCCTAGTTCAACCTTCTGCTCCCCCTACTCACCAGCTGCCCAGCAGAAAGTCTTCCCGCACAGTGGGACTTAGGAAGATGTTGCAGGGTGCTGTGCCCTGAAATCCCCCACCTGACAGGTTTTGTGGGCAACCACGGTTATTTAGCAGAGATATTATAGAAACGCAGCAAAGCACAGTGACCACGCCTGATGGCCTGGATTCACATCCCATTTACAAGCTACACGTACCTGAGAGAGTTACCGAGAGCCCTCTGTGCCTCAGTTCCCTGTCCTGAGATGTGGAAATATTCATACCGCCTACTCACTAGTGCGCTGTTGTGACGCTAAAAGTGATTTCCTCCAAGTAGAGACTGGAGCGCAGTAACTGTCTGGTGCTTCACAACTGCTCTGTAGGTGTTCAGGTATCGACGGTCTACGGAATGAGCTGGACACCTGGTAGTGGGTGAAGCCAGACACGGGACTTGGATGGCTCCACTGCATGGGCGATGGAAGCTCACTCTTTATCCTGCACAGGGGAATGAGGCTTACAGCTCACCGAGAATATGTATCATCTCCTCCTGTAATCCCCACACCAGCACCGTTGGAGGGGAAGCAGGGGCTGTAAGCCATAGTTTACAGTGGAGGGCACGGAAATGTAGAGAGATGAAGGGACTGTCCCTTGTGATGGATCCGGGACAGGAATGTGGTTGGTTCCCTGGGGAGGGAGATCCCCGAGCACCTGACACCTGCCCACGACCCTGAGAAAATGTGCTGAAACCCAGAACCAAGAGCTTTCCCCACTTTCTCAAATCCAGCTGTGCCAATGTTTCTTTGGGACACAGTGGGTGTCCCTGCAGGACGTGTCTGTGCCATGAGAACAATCTGAATCCTACCTCCGCCTCCTGCCTCTATGTTTCAGTCCTGACCCGAAATGTAATGCACTTTCCTCCCAACACTGCCGCCCCCCAACCGGAATACACGGGGACGTGTGCGTGGAGCCTCCCTGCCCAGCCTCTCGTGAGGCAGGCCAATGTTCATGAAACAAATACACAAATAAATAGACATTTACATGAGAATTAACCCGAGTGTCCGATAGGTAAAGGTGAAATACACTGATGACCTATCCTTTGATTTAAATTTATGCTCTGAATTGTTTCAAATAATTGGGAAATGATGACAGCATAGGGTAATTAAAAAGTGGGAATTAAAGGTGTCAAGTATAATCTCTATTTTCTACAATCAAACACACTTTTATCCCAGTGTAGGAATGCCTATCGTCTGCGACATTGAACAGGGGTTATCCTGGTGAAAAGATTAGGAAGTTTTTCATCTGATCTGTAACATTTTCCCTCTCAAAACGTTGATCCTTCTGTTTTGCTACTCATGTCAGAGCACACTGGGTCAGTGCAGGGCCACGTTCTGCGGACGACGCTGCCAGCCACCTGTCCTCCAGGCCAACTGGGACGGACCCCACTGGGTACAATAGAGATGCCCAGGGTTGGCCTTGGACAGCAGGCTATTTTGCATGATTTGAGAGGTGCTGAAAAGACCTCCTCCTCCTTCCTTATACCTCATATTACATAATTAAGGACACAAGCTTTTAGTCTTGAGACTAAGTTTCGGTTACAATATGACCATCTAGAATGGAAAGTAGCTATCACCCAAATCTTACCAAGGCGTCCTCCTGCCAGCCACGAGGGGACAGGCAGAATGAGCCTGTGGATTCATCACTGCAGGGCCTTGGGGAAGAGTTCACAGCAAGTTGGCTCGGCCAAGGGCTTTCCACGCCTGTCCTGATTCACAGGGACAGTGGCTCCTGGGACATGGCTGTGAAATTATTCAGGGAAGAGCAGGGTAAATGCAAAGATATTTGGAACTGGCTGGCCATATTCCTGGGGTATTTATTTTTTTCTCTTTACCAAAGAATTTCTAATCTGTCCCACCTGCCTCTTCCCTTACCTACCAATCACTGCTTTCTGTAGAGACGGCTGCCTGGAAGAGACTAGGATTTTGGACCAAAGCCTCGGGTTCCATTCCATCCCCCCCTGTGAAAGTGTGGAGGCTGCCACCGCTCAGACATGGTGCCTACCCTGGCTCAGCTCTTGCTGTACTTCTCGGAAAGTGTGTGGACCACACTGGAGAAGCAGCAGCTGAGACATTCTGTGGAATGATTAATTTCTCTTTACCAGATGAGGAGGACACACTCAAGGCCCCAAAACTCTGGTCTATGATGAATTGTGTACAGACCATGCTGGGGAAGTCTAGCCGCTGACATAACAAGTCCATGACATGAATGATGGAACCAAGCCTCCCTCTTGCCCTTCTGGCCTTGGCTTGCAGCTCTGCGAGGCAGTCCCCCTCTGCGACTACGCCACTAGGGTTCCTGCGCTCAGCTAAAGCACAGTCAGGCTGGCTCTCCACCAAGAACAGATCACATGTTCCCTTTGTCACAGCCCTGCCTCCTGAGATGGTCATGTTGAGTGAGAGACTTGCCGTGGAAGGAGTTAGCAAGCACTGGAGGCATCTGGTTCCTTGTACTCCCATGTATCTCACCGGTGCAGACCTTAAGAAGTTGCAGCACGTATCAAAAATGGCTTTGACTTCTTCGTATGTTTCTTTTCGGTTTGGGGTCGTCCTTTGGGGTTCAGAAGGAATGTTTATATATACCGCTTGGCTTCTCTAAAGACACAGAGCACAGTAGTTGCTTTGGGGCATCTCATCACCCTGTGACTTCTTTTTTTCGAGGTGAGAAGGGAGAGCGATCGCTGACCTACTGCATGCCAGAGGCCTTGAAGCAAATCTCTTTCCAGCTTGAAACTCCATGCTGAGGAAATTGCAGACTGATGCATTATTATCTCTCGTGCCCTGACGCTAAGTGCACCCAGGGGGGATGCTGAGAGCCACCCCTCTGCCGTCTGGAGGCAGGGACTGCCAGGATCCCTCCTGCTTTGCCTCCCTCCCTGCACAGGGGCCACCTTCAGCTGTGAGCAGCCTCCAGTTTGGGGATTGTGGGGATCACTGGGCTGCTGAGAAGCACGAGACACAAGAATTTCTGACGGTTGATCCTAGCATGTATTGACCATCCCAGAGCTCAAGCACCAGGTTCCTAAAGACCAACTACTAGAGGGACTTTGTGCCTACATTTTCAGGCTTTACATGGAAAACTGTCCACTTATTTAGGAAGGGACCAACATTAATGCTTTATGATGAAACTATTTCAGTTGTTACTTTTCTTAATGATGAAGCACTAGCCATAAAGATGAAAGGCAAATGACCAAACCTTTGCACTCATGTGTGAGTAAGGAGTAAGGGAGTAATCGACACCATAGTGGTAAAATGTCAAGAAGAGACGGTTTAAAAAAATCCAAACATGTAATCAAAATATACACAGATTTTAAATGCCACTGATGATTAATGAAAGTGAATATAAAAGCATACATTAAGCATCCAGTTGGCAGACATGAAAACCCTCCCACCACCCCGTGTCAGGGAGGCACCGGAGGACCACTTTTCACAATCTGTCATGTGGTATTAATGGGGATGACAGTTCTGTCAGGCTGCTTCTCCGTATATTGTGACAGTTTCGAAGACGCCCACAGATCCCCCTGCCTCCTCCGAAGCAGAGCGGGCAAAACCCACAGGAGCGTGGCGGGCCCTGGTCGGTGCGGCTTTGGCAGTTTGTGTGACAGTCCCTGCAGAGCTTCCCCTGCGCCGTTCCCTCTGGTGACTGGGTACTTGGCCCCGGGGAGGGCCCAGGTTACCTCGCAGTGACAGAAAGGACATTTGCTCTGGATGGTGTCTCACAAATTCTAGAGCAAGGCAGGCAGGCTGTGAGGAGGATCCACTTTCCATTTCCTGCAAGCCAATCACTAACACGGCCCGGGCCATTCCCCCCACTCTGCCAGCAGCAGGACAACCCTGTACCGGCCTGGGGGTATCCAGGAAATGGCCAGACTCCTGCTTCTCGCTCCTCAACCACCGTTGTTAAGACTTTGAGTTTCAGGAACAACAAGGAGCCCCGTCCCTCCCCCTCTCCCCGTAGAATCCCGGGTCTGGGGCACATCAGCCACCAGGGAGGCCCCGAGGGAGCGCTCACAGCGGCTGCATCCGTGTGTCCCCAGCGAGGGTGTCACCAGAAGCTCAGAGCCCTGAGTGCGGTGCACGGAGGAGTCCTGGTGTGGACTGGCGTCAAGAAGCAGCATTTGGGTTTAGAAACCACGAGCACTTGGCATTGGCAACCAACCAAAGGCTCTTCTCAGAATTCAACTAGCGAGTGCAGCTAAGCACGGTGTAGCCAAACCCTGCGTTCAGGGCATTCCACACGGGGCGCACTGAACGGATTCGGAAAAGCATGATCGGGGTCATGGGAAAGCGGCCCCGGCTGCTCACAGGTGCAGCTCGCCAGCGCTGACCTCAGCCCTGACTCTCCCGCCACAGCCACGTCTCCAGCCACACGTTCCAGGGCAACTGTGCCCTTGTAACACTGGGCGGAGTTCATGCCCAGCCCCGAGCAAAGCAAGTTAGGAAAAGGACCTCACCGTGTGTCTCAGCTTTCGTTTAACCGGCACTGTGCTCATGTGGCCACGGCTATTACTCCACGTTTCTTCTATCACTTAATGAGAAATCTACCTAGTTGGCAAAGCGGGTCGATGAAGAGAAAAAACGCATAGAAAGGCCCCACGGGAGACGGTGTAGACGGCCCGAAGGCCTGGCAGTGCACAACCACATCACTGCACAGGGCGGCTCTGAGCCAGCCACTTCCTCCTTTTCCCCTTTCTCATCCTGGACTCTGGAGGGACTGACCACAGCCCGCCTCACTTGAGTCTGGGGAGGAGAGACCACTAAACCCGCACGGACACTCACCTGTGTGGATCCCCACTTTCCGGGGTCCTGTGGGCAAGGACGGTATCCTGGGCATTCCTGACAACACACACCGCCTCCTGGTTTCGGACCCCTTCCTGTCCCAGCATTTGCAGAAATTTTACCCCTTCGACGATCAGGCAGTGGAGAGCAACGATCTCTTCCCAAACAGAAAAAAGGTTTGAAATTCAGGTTACTCTTCCTATGTCACCTTAACCAACTGATCTTATCAGGTCCTCAACTGCATGCACATACCTTGTATTTCTGTTGCTGTTCAATCAGACATCTGCTTATATAACAAGTGTTACTCAGTGTGAACTAGGACCTGCCTCCCCCAAGCTGTGAGAGAACCAATGGGGAAGACTCTCTTTTTGGTTTCTTCGTCTTTAATGATAAGGGAAACTATATTCATTTTCACGGGAGACCGCTCAGTCTCCCTTCCTCTCCCTCCCCCAGTCCCTCCCACAGCTATTGGAGAATGAGGGTCCAGAGAATAAGAGTGTGGTAGTGAAGAGTAACACTGCGGACCCATGAGTTCTGAGCATAAATGATATACATAAAGGAAGCCACCTACCTATTTCACACAATCGGTGAGAGGCCTTGAATCAGTTTCTTCATTGACGATGTTATGCAATGAAGGAGGAACAGCTTGAGATTCAGAAGACGCAGGTTCTGTCTGTGGTCTGATCCCAAGAGCTCCTACATGACCATGGACAGCCTCCACCCCCAATGTCCCCCCCGTGGATCCCTCTGGCCCATCACAGCTCTGAAATATACTCAGCCTACATGTTTTCAACACTGTGACTTTGTACGTTGGAATCATTGCTGATGGTGGTGTATTTATGGTATCCTGGCACCTCCTGTTTAATTCCTGTTGACGTTCAAGAAATTGTAGTAGGAATGACTTGAATCCTTCTGGTGAAATTTTCCACTGCAGCCCTGGGGCCTAGAACATTCTGCTGGAGACCAGACTATCAATAATGAAGCTGACTTTGGGCTGATGCACCCAGTTCTTTGCTAAAGACCTTTTCTTTCCCCATTACTGCCCCCAGACAAGACCTTATAAACCTTGACAGCCAACTCCTGTGCTGGAGGGCAGCCACGGTGAAATGCACCCCTCTTGGCCTTGAACAGAGGCAGCGCCCTGGCTGAGCAGTTAGTGCGGGAGAAGTCCCCAGGGCTACCCTTGGGGCTGCAATGTCAGGATGCATCTTTCCAGGATGGTGCTGTTCTACTTCCAGGGTAGGCGCTGGGGACTGGAGTGCTGCTTTGGGGACACTGAGGCCCCGGCACTTTCCAAACACCCTGCTGAAGGTTGTTTCTGTAAAACCTGACTGCCCACCAAGCAACTCATTAACAGTTGATGAACGGTAATTCTTTTGTAATTCGGGATAGACCACCTCATACAATATTTTTAAATGCCTGCAGCAATACTGATTTATAAAATAAGTCATGTGGCCTACCTCCTGCCACATTCACTGGTGGAAGCAAACAGTGCAGTGAACTCAAAAGAGAAACAGTGAATCCTCAGTGACTCAGCATCTGTCCCCAAATACATACTAACAACTCTTCCCTCTTCATTTGTTGCAAAGACCTGAGACTACTTAAGGCAAAACTTCACACTGTACTGTGGGGGTACTAACATGGGTAGATATAAAATCTATGACAAGAGCACAAAGGACAGAAGGAGGAACATGGAACTGTCCTGTGGTAAGGATTTTACAACTGGACGTTTATTAAAATAGTACACTACTGGGGGGAGGAGCAAGATGGAGGAGGAATAGGAGACCTGGATTCCGTCTGGTCTCAGGAATTCAGCTGGATAGGGATCAAACCATTCTGAACACCTACAAACCCAACAGGATATCGAAGAAAAGAAGAGCAACAACTCTCTCATCAGAAAAGCGACCACTTTCTGGAAGGTAGGACGTGCGGAGAAGTGAATCCGAGGCGATATTCGGGATAGACGGCGGGGGAGGGGCCTCCCTCGGCCGCTTCTGGCAAGTGATAGAGCCGCCGAGCACAAAATCGGAACTTTTAGAAGTCGGCTCCGCTGAGGGACGTCACTCTGGGGGCTAAGCAGGGGGTGGAACCCTCCGGGACAGTGTGGCCTCAGGACCCTCGGGGTCACAGGAAGACTGGGGGTGCCTGAGTGCGGCAGAGCTCCCAGGTAACGGAGCAGGGAAGCCGGCTGCAGAGGCGGAGGCCAGGCGCGGGCTCTCAGCTCCGGGTCGCCATAAACCGTGATCCGCGGCACAGTCGGGCCCCTGCTCCTCCAGCAGGGACCCAACAAGCGGCAGATCCGGGGAGACTCACCTTCCCCCCAGGGAGGAGCCCCGCGGGAGCGCACCGCAGGGCCCGCTGGGCCTGGAGACCCCACCCGGGCCGGGCGCCAGGGCCAGAAACGCACGGTCACAGGCCAGGCGAGCACGGAGCGCGGCCAGAGACCGGGGAGACAGAGAGTCTCTTTTTTTTTTTTTTTTTTGAATTTTTCTTTTTCCCTTTTTCAACCAACATCTTATCAATCCCCTTTTTAAAATATTTTTTATTTTTCATTTTTAGAGTGATATCCTACCCTTCAGAGTTGTTAACCTTATTTTATATATATATATATATATATATGTTGTTCTCTCTTTAAAATTTTGGGATACAGTTTCTTCTAACAGCCTGCTGCAGGCTGTGCTAGGTGAGTGGGTCCTGGTGACAAGGACAGCTAGCAAAACTGCGCCCAGGTGACACTGGGAAGTTCGGCCGTGCAGCCTGAGCGTAGGGTGACACTTTCTGAAGAGCCTGTGGGAGGCTAACTGAAGGGTTAAGTGTCCTTGGCGTCACCGTCCACAGCGAAGCTCAGACCAGATGCCACTGTGTGCAGGCAAAGTTGTCCAGTGAGAGGCTGGGTCTGTCAGTAGAGTGAGGCTGGCCAGGGCCAAGCTGCCGTCCAGTTGAAGCCCCGTGGACTGCGGTTGTATATCCCCGCGGCATTGCCCTGAGTGAGGCTGTGTCCAGATGACGATGTCCCAGCCACCCATGTGTCCCTGAAGTCTGGTGGGTAATGTGTGGGTCACACACTATCTCAGTGCTCGGAGGCCCTGCCTCCTGGCCAAGGCCCCTAAGAAAAACGAACAAAAACCACCGAACAGGAAAAACCAACACTCTCCCCTGAGACAGACCTTTGGGCTCGGCCCGAGGCTGTCCCCGGCGCTGCTACACCCCTGAGCCAGACCCTGCTGCAGCTCTGAGGCCAAAAGGGGCTCCACCCCTCCGCCTGCCCAGACTCAGTCTCCAGCCTTGATCCCCCGCTGCGCTTAGCCATCTGCACTCCCCAGACGTGATCCCCAGGAGTCCCCAGCCTGTGCGCGGCCCGACGTCCAACCCCAAAGCCCGAACGCTAGCAGGCGGTGCCTGAGGCCCCTTCTCCATCCACGGGGGTGTTGGGTCTGTCCACACAAATACATTGCCCGAGGGCGCTTCCAGCACCCGTCCCGGCAACCCTCGGGGGGCTGCCCTCAATCCCCGCCAGCCTGCGGGGCCCCGGGCGGCACCGGCGTCTTCTTGAAGTTCTTCTGGCCCGGGCCCTGTTCGCGCCACCGTCCGCAGGGCCGTCCGGGGCGTCGTCGGCGGGCCTCGCGACCGCGGCCAGGGCGTTCATGGTGCCGAGTGCCCGCAGCAGGGCCGGGCCGCGGGGCGCGGCGCGGGGGGCCGCGCGGGGCTCCCGGCCGGCGGGCGGGGGCGGCGGCGGGGGCGGGGGCGGCAGCAGCTCGCGCAGGGCGTCCAGCTCCGCTCGCAGCTCCGCGCGCAGCGCCTCCAGCCCCGCGCCCAGCTCGGCGCGCACAGCCGCCAGGCCCTCCTGCAGCCGCCGCTCGCTCACCTCCAGGACGCCCGCCGGGTAGGTGGCCCCGCCGCGCGGCTCCCCGCACACGGAGCACACGGAGCCGCTGCTGCGCGCGGCCGCTCGCTCCCCGGCCCCCGGCGCCCGGGCCTCCCCCGCCGCGGCCCCCGCGCGCTCCACCAGCCGCAGCAGCCGAGGCGCGTCGGCCAGCGCCGCCGCCTCCGCCCGGAGCTGGACCCGCAGGCGAGCCAGGCGTCCCGGGGCGCGGGCTTCTTCAGGGCCCGGCCCTTTGGGCTGCGGCCCGGGGTCCCGCCGGCGGCCAACGGCCCGTCGCAGCGCCTCGCTCGCGCCGTACGCACTGCGCGCCTGCACCCACGGGCGCCCGCGGGCCGCCGCCATCCGCGCTGCCACCGCCGCCGCCGCCGCCACCGGAGCCGGGCCTGGTCGGGAGCCCCAGCCCGCAGCCTAGCGACCGCTGGGGCCCCGGCGACGCTCCGTGGAGATGGCCCCCGGGACGGCTGTGGGAACGACCGAGGCCTCGGGAGATCTGGCCTGGGGGGGCCGGGAACTCCGGGAGGGCGGGGGTGGGGAGGGCGGGTGGATGGAGCCCCAGGGGACCCCGGCGGGGCAATGCAGGCAGGCTTGAGTGTGCTGGACCTGCTCTAGGGGACTGCGCTGTCGTTGGCGGGTTGAGCAGCTTGGACTGGCTTCTGGGCAGGGGGTGACAGGACATGGAATGAAGGCTGCAGAAGCCTGGGCGCCCAGACCCGTCAGGAAACAGGCTTGCACCCTGTACTCCAAACTGCTGTCCCCATCACAGTCAGGGGAAGGCAGGTGTGCTTCTGGACCCGCCAGTCCCCAGTCCTCCTCACCCGCTAGGGCCCCCACTTCCATACCATAGTCCAGGTCGCTATTATCCCCGCCCCCACCCCTACAGCTGCAGGAATCTGTCCTCCTCCTGGGCGCCCCCATTCAAGCTCTTCAGGGGTCTGGGTGGCTCTCTGCTGTGCCCCAGTCCTCAGCCACTGGATGTCCCAGCCCACCCTACACTGCGTTCTGGACATGTCTTCTTTTACCCAACAACCTCAGCCCCTCTGAGCCTTTGCTCAGGCGGTTTCTCCTGCTGGGAACGCCCCCCACCACCACCACCATTTGCCTGGCGGCTCCCATTCATCCCTCCTCTGCAGGACAGCCTTCCTTAGCCACCCCAGCCCCCAGCAGGTGACTCAGGCTCCTCGCCCCCGTGTTTCAATGGCTCTGTTTTCTGTCCACCTGGATCCTCAGTAGGGGTCCTGAGCACCGGAGGACTGGGTCACTCAGTTTTCAGAGGTACTAAACATGCGGGATGTTGGAGGCAGGAGTAGATGAGTGAATGAGTCTGGGGCTGAGGGTCCTGAGTAGTGCAGGGCCTCTACCACCCACCCTGGTCAGCCCGTGCACCTCCTCAGCCTGGCATTCAAGATCCTCGTAGTCATCCTTGCTGGCTTTCCTGTCCCTGACACCTTTCCCACTTGTGCGGGCTGTCCTCACCACTGGACTCCATCCTTTTTCACCCCGGTGCCTTCACCCATACAACTGCCTGTGGCCATCACAGGGTCATGGGCAGTGCACTGTGGGCAGCATCCCTCTGCCCAGCATGCTGTTCTCACCGGACCCTAGGGCCTAGTTAGGACTCTGGGTACCCTGGGGGCCTCCCCAGCAAATTGTGGGGAGGGAGGGTCTGGTGTGAATCCAGGCTGGGCTGGGAGGGGATGGCAAGGTAGCCACAGGGACCTGTGTCCCTTGAGCGCACAGGGGCCTAGCCACTATGTAGCTCTGTGCCCGTGTGTGTGTGTGATTGAGGGTGCTGCCAACCCTGTTCTTTGGCAGCCCTGGACCCAGGCCACCATGAAGACTTCTGGATCCCCCTATTCATTCATTCATTCATTCATTCATTCATTCATTCATTCATTCATTGTAGCCTCTCTGGAAGGTGGAAGGGGAGGTGAGAATTTGGCACTCTGTCAAACCCCACAGAGCCCCCCATTCCTGCTGAGTCACCTGACCCCCTGTGATATCCAGTGTCTGGTTCTGCTGGTCCCTAGGGCTTCGTTAACCATACTCCTGCCCCCCCTCCCCTCAGTAATTAAAATATTGCAGACAAAAATGCCCTGGATTCCTTCCCCAGGTCTGCTGGAGTCAGGTTGGGTGACCCAGGGGCTCTGCCTCCTCTGAGCCTCACCTGTGAAGTGAAGGAGACCCCTAACATCTGTGGTGGGGGCACAGCAAGGAGGCTGGGAAAGGCTGGGGAGGGGTGCGGGGGGGGGTGATGGTGGACAGACTCCAGATCTGTGATGTGGTATGAGAGCCAGGAAGGGTGGGGCTGGGCTGCCAGGGCAGAGAGGGGCCTCGAAGTTTTCTGACTGTTGAGGCTGCTGGAGGGATGTGGTAGGAACAGAGCCTTTGCGGTGAAGAGCTGATGATCCTGCAGGTGCTGCAGATATGAGGTCATGGCTGGTGGCAGAGAGTCCCAAAGTCATGGGCAGACAGATTACCCAGGAGCGAGTGCAGAGTGGGAGGAGAGGCCCCGGGGACCCTGACCAGCCCAGAGGGGGGCTGCAGAGGCGTTGGTGAGGGGTGAACAGGCAGCTGTGGTCAACATGACCCTGAGCCCCTGAGGTCAAGGGCAGCGATAGTCAAGAAATAGGTTGTGGTGACTGTAGCCTGAGCCTCACAGGTGGGGGGGCCAGCAGAAGCTGAGGACTGGAGGTGAGAGGATAGGTTGGGGAGCCCTTGCCTAGGCTCGTTGGTCAGAACAGAGGTAGCTTCGGAAGGAATGGGACAAGAAGCAGGAACAGAGCTACTGACCGGGCCAGGGGGACTGGCACACAGGCCTGCTTTCTGGTTCTTCTGCTTTCTAGAATATCCTCATAGGCCGGCCTGCCTGGCCCCCTGCACAGAGGAACTGAGTGGGGCCCAGTGCAGGGCCTAGCTCCTTCCCCACTCCGGCCCCCTCTGTGTGCTCAGGGCCAGGGCCTGGTCTGCTGGGGGTGGGGAGGCTGGCTCTCACAGCTCCGGGAGCTGTCCCCGTCTGGGCTCTGTGCATTCAGGTGGGCCCCTCTGCACAGGCAGGGTTGGGCGATCAGCGGGCTTGGCCACTGATTAACCCAGAGCCTGGGAGGAGGGAAAACCCTGGGATCTGCCTCTTCTGGAGAAGGGGGGCAGCCTCCGCGTCACTGAATTGCCTCACCTTTGCTCTCTGTTGCCGTGAAACCCTGGCGGCCCCCCAGAGAGGAGGTCTTATTTTCCAAAGCCGAGGGTGGTGGGAGCCAGGGAAGAGTTCAGTCGGCAGGGCCAGGCGGGCTTTGTATGTCGGAGGGGCCCTGGTGGCCTCGGAGGGGGCAGGGGAGCCTCCCAGTCATCACGGGAGTGTCTGGAAATGCAGATGCCCAGGTCACCCCCTCCGCCAACCCCACGAGGTAGAACTGAGTGTGAGCGTTCAGGGCACGGTGGTCTTTGTCTTCTTCCGCAACTGTCTGCACACCAAGTTCTGGCCCAGCCTGGTTCTCAGTGAAGGGGGGCACAAGGCGGGGAGACCCTCCCGGGTTGGCTCTGAGGGTCTGGGGAGGGCGACCCCCAGGGGAAGCGGGAAGTATGGTCTGCCCTGAGCCCCCAGCCACCCTGGGAGGAGAAGGGGGCTAGCCTTGGAGCTGGGCCTGGAGTGGGCTGCCCCTTGCCTTTCTGGTCACAGACCCCGGCCCTCAGCACGGACTCTAGAGCATGGATGCCCACCCAGTCTCTAGCCAGCTGTGCCGCTTGCTTGCTGTGGGAGCCAGACTGACTAGGCCCCTGGCTTGGCTGGGGCCTGGGCCTTGGCCCCAGGGCTCTTAGGAAAGGAAGGCTGTGGTACCTTTGGGGCCCCGAAGTGCAGGCCACGTAGTGGAGCGTCAGTAGACTAAGCGGGCAGCTCGGGCTTGGGCCATGGCTCAAGGCACCACTCTGGGCTAGTTCATGCTGCCTCACGGAGCTCTGGCGGCCCTGTTGCCTTGCTTCAGTGTTCCCAGCTGTCAGAGCCCAGGACCAGTCTTTGCTGGCCAAGAGATGGTGAGGGTGGCAGTGGTGACAGATGCTGGGAGGTGGGCAGGGGCCATGGGAGGCCTGTGGCCTGAAGGGCAGGTCTGAGCTGCAGGTGGCTCCTCATTTAAAGAAGGGGCGAGAGGGTCCGGGGCTTCCTGTGGGGACTGGACTTGGGCACACTCTGCCCCTGAACACCCCTTGGCTACGAGGCCCTGGAGCTGCTCCCCGGTCTCCTGGTGGCTCTGGCTACCCAGGCATTCCCTAGGAACTGTCCTGGGGCAAGGGCAAACTCATTACCTAGTAAGGACCTTGCCTGACTTCAGTAATGAGCTCATTACCTGATAATGACCTTGTTTGCCTCATCCTGGTGTCAGCAGCCCTAGAACGTCTGGCCTGGGGTGGTTCTGACCAGTCCTGACCGTGGCCTTCAGCCTCCCCACCCGCCCCAGATGGTGCATCAGGCCCGCCAGGATCTGTGTGCCCTGCAGGCCCAGCCTGGGCTCCCAGTGGGACCATTCTGGGTTCCTGACCACCCCCCAGCTGCACAACCTGGGCAAGTGAACCCTTTAACTTCTGTTCCTCACTCCCTCACCCACAGGTGGGGCAAGAGGGTTTGCGTGGAACAGAGGGAGGAGGGCCGCCTCTGAGGGACACTCTCTGACCACACAGGGCTCCTCAGAGGCTCCCCTTCTACAAGCTGGGGGAGGGGGTCACCACGTCAGGACCATCCACACAACCACTGGTCCCTGGCATGGCCCCTCATCTCCTCACTCCCGGTATAGGGGAGTATGGGGAGGTCTGAGGGCTGGGTCAGCCTGCCCCATCAGGGTCCCCTCACCTCCCCTGTGGCCAGAGGGCATTTCCCTGTCCTCAACCCGCTTCTCTTAGCAGCACTAACACAGCTGGCTATGGTCTCCTACTCACACCCTCCTGGTGACCCCAGATCCTGGCAGACGCCTCTCACCCCCATGCCATCCCCCTGGATGAGAGCGGGCCCCTCATCCCCCCCATGCCCCCACCTGCCTCACTTCTCCAGGCCTTGGGTTTCACCCTTTTCTTCTCAGTGGGAGCCTGATCAACCTAATTCTTTTTTTTTTTTAAGATTTTATTTATTTGAGAGAGAGAATGAGATAGAGAGAGCATGAGAGGAGGGAGGGTCAGAGGGAGAAGCAGACTCCCTGCTGAGCAGGGAGCCCGATGCGGGACTCGATCCCGGGACTCCAGGATCATGACCCGAGCCTAAGGCAGTCACCTAACCAACTGAGCCACCCAGGAACCCCAACCCAATTCTGATTAAGACCCACCTCTGCCCAACATCCTCCGCGAACTGCCACCTGACTCCTGCAAGAGGCCGGGATCCTGCGTGCCCCCAGGGTTTGGACCTGCCCCCTCAGTGACCCGCTTCCTCTTGTTCCCCAGGCCAGCACCCACCCACCCCCCACCCCGAGCCTGTGCACATCCTGCTCCCTCTGTCTCAGGTCACAGTTTACATGGCCTCCTAGAAAGGCCTGCCCTGACCTGGGGGCCCTTCCCCATGCTGCCCCTGCATCTGCCTACCTGGCACTCACCAAACTTTGCATTTCCTCCTGGAATGTGGGGTCTCTGGTCTCTGTCCTTGTTTGGGTTTGACTTCCAAAAGGGCAGGGACACCCCGGCATCCTCAAGGTCCAGAAACTTGTGCCTGGCACACAGTAGGCATGGCCTAAATCCACTCTCCGTGAAGGAAGGTGTCTGCACTGGGCTTGGCATTGAGTAAGCACTCAGTGTTGGCTTTATTTCCAGGCCTGCAGGGCGGGGGTGATCGTGGAAGGCCCAGCTTGCAGGACTGGCTGTGTCTCTAGTGTCCCCTGCCTGGGCAGGGTCCTCACTCAGCCCAATCCTAGGGTTTCCCCATCCCACCTGGAGTTGGCCGTGGCCAGGCGCTCTGCCCTCACCCTCGACGTGCCCCAATGGGGTGGGGTGGCAGGGGAGGGGATGAAGAGTGTATAAGTGGGGGAGGTTGGTGTCAGGGAGGCCTGGGCTGCATAGGGGGATGAAGTTGGGGGTGATATTCATGCAGGGAGGGGGTGTCAGGACTGGGGGGATGGACTGGGGCCAGTACGGGAGGGCGCATGTCACAGGAGGGGAGCCCTAACCACTCCCCACCCACCCCACTGAGCCCCCTCGAGGCCTTTCATGAGTCTGGCATGAGAGATGGAGACAAGGGAGTGTGAGTGTAGACCGCTTTCCAGGATTTGAACCACGTCATGTCAGACATCTATGTATACCCTTGTAACTAATACCCACATCAAGATCTTTCCCCTACACCTTCCTGTCTCAAAATTTAGTTCGAAGGAGATCAGTTTTCTCTGTATTATATGTTTAATGTCATGTATGATAACACACAAGATACCACGTAACATGCGTGTCTGCTAAAAGCATCCCAGCAGAACAACTGTGAGTCAGCGACCCAACCCAGGAATTGCTCCAGTACCAATGAGTCCTCTCCTTCTCTCCAAAGGCACCTGCTATGCTGAATTGTGTGTTTCCCTGACTTTTATATATATATATATATATATATATATATATATATATATCTTGTCATGGATGTAAGTATCTCTACACAGTGTGTCATTTGGTTTCGCTTGTCTTTGCTGTAACAATGGCATTAGGCCGTGTGTGCACTTGTGGGTCTTGCCTTCTCCACCTAAGGTTACTTGAGATTCATCAGGTTGCTGGGGTGGAGCTGGTGTTCGTTCTTTTTTCCTGTTGAGTTGTTTTGGTTTTCTTTTTTCTTATTGAATTGTAAGTGTCTTTTCATTTCATTGTTTTAAAACAACAGAAGGTCTCCTGATTTACCGCTTTTCCTGATTCTGATTTATTCAGGAATAATCATTGTACCTGGTGGTATAGATAATAAAAAGGTCTGGGGTTGGAAGCTGTGCGGTTTATGGATTATTTTAATCGATCAAAGAGCTTTGATTCAACTCTATGGAAACAGATGCAATTTTGTTCTCCGATATTCAGATTTCTGTTCCAGGACAGACCTTCATTTTCTCTCTTCATTCTCCTTTTATTTGATGGATGGCTGCTGAAAGTGACAAATATATTTACATATAACTATGGAGGCCCACATGATTTTGCTTCATGTGTTGAGAATAGGATCGCACTAGGAATGATGAAATTGGAAGTTGTACGTTCTGAAATTGCTCTACTTCTGCAGTTATGAGCATACTCTCTTAAATATTGCCCTTAAAACTGACCTACCATTGATTAGATGAATTGTGGCCATTTACAATAAGGAGGACCTAAATACGTGGAGGAAGAGCATGATGTACTTTAACTCCTCTTTAGAACCAACCAATAAAGTTTTAGTTTTCTTCATTTTAACAAATTAAGGCATTGCGTTTGTTTTTGAGAATGTGGCTCTTTCTATTTATGATGGGTCTGATCTTGGCAGAACTTTGCATTATGAACAAAGGGTCTCCATCAACTATGACTTCCTATGTGGAGGAAAAATGCTCGTGAGATGATCACCTCAGTGCTGGTAGAAACATCCTAACAAATCCGACAAAAGTTCTCCCCTCACCCTTACCTGGATAACCACCTGTTCTGTCCTATATCCACTTGTTCATGTTAAGTCTCCCCATGTTCACAGGATGGAGTTCGGGGGCACTCGTGTTTCCTTTCCACGCAAATGTTAAGGATTACTTGTGTCACAGAAAACTCAGGCATCAGGTGACCTGCAGGAGGAAAACTTAAAGAATCTGAATAGAGAGGGCTGGAAGCTGAATGGGTCAGATCAGAATTAGTAAACACGTGTGGCTATGAACAATCAGCCTGACTGACGAGAGCAGAAGGTATAAACTGCAGAGACAGGCTCTCAGTAGCATCAATCAGCTGACAACTTCCTATTTTGCCTCCATCCAGACTTTTCTCCTGAGCCTCTCATGTATCCATCCAGCTGCATGGTAGGTCCACTTCTAGGTCTCACAAATGGTTCATCTCCACATGGTCAGAAGGAAACTGGATTGCAACCACTTAAGAACAAGCTTTCTCTTCCAGGCTCTCCCACTTCAATAAATGATTCAAAAATTCTCCAGTGATCAAACCAGAAGACTGACAGATATTCGAAACTCCCATACCTCACCACCCACATTCAGCCAAGAGATTTTATACAATTCATTACAAAATATATATTTTGAGTCAAGGTGCTTCTGTCCACTGCCACCACTTTCATCTTAGCCATCATCTTGGAGTCCAGACCACCACTCCCAATCCAGACCAGTAGAAACCGAATGAGAAATGTCAGTCAGGTAGGAATTGCACTAGTATGTTGTGAGACCCTCTTCTCCCAATGCACTGATACATAAATGGTTAAGAAAAGATTTTTTTAAATGATAAGACATAGATGGGAACACAAACATGTCAATATTTACATGCATCAGAAGAAAAAGGAAACACCGAATGTGAGCAAGGCTTAAGCCATGTGCATACTGACGCCTGTGTTCTGAATTAGGTGGAGGCACCTGAGAACACATGTCCATAGGGCAAGAGAAAACTGAGTAATCCGGGTGAGAGAGTCAGCCAGAGGCAAGCTCGGTGTTTAAAACCAGGGGCCCTGGTAGGACTCTCACTCACATGAAAGCAGAGGTGCCAAAATGGATGCGGACTACTTCCCAGGGCTACAGGGGGCAGAAACCCAGCTGATCCAAGATGGTGATGTAGAAAGTCCCTGAACTCACCTTGTCTGTCGACACACCGTGTCTACACCACCAGTAAGGGAGACAGAGGCACGGTCAGGAAGGCAATCCCCACTCCTGACACTGCAAAGTATAGTGGGGAGGGATAGTATTGAGTCACCATGGGCAGGTTTGTCAGCCCCGGGGCACAGAAGAAAAGCTGGTGTTTAAAAGGGCACCTGGAATAGAAATAAACCAGCCCTACAGCCCTGCCATATGGCAGAGAAGTAGCTGGAACTCTCTCCCAGTTGGAGGGGTTGGCAACTACCATGGTTTACACTATCCCTCCAAACTGATAATGTGCACAGGAGCAGGGTCTGGGAGTCCTAGCTCGCCTATCATCTCAGCCCCAGGCCCCCAGGCCACACCAGTCCCAGCCATCCCACCGGGGGCCCCGAAGCACCGCTCACTGAGAAACCCTGGTCAGCGCCCAATGCGTATCCAGCTGTCTGGCCAATGTGCCACAGGTGGAAAGAACCCAGAAGAGTCCATGTCCACAGAAATTTACCTCCATAAGGCTTGCTAGGGCACCTCTGGTGCAGAGTGCTCTGGGACCTCCTGACTCCTGCCTGCTTTGGCTTCAGCCTCCCTGGCAGGGTGGCTTCTTCACCAGCAGCCCAGTTTCCTGGCGAGACTCCCACCTCACCTCCAGCTGCCCTATCAGTGCATGCACTCTGGGGAGCACCCCAGGACCCACAAACCTGCTTCCCAGCTCTAACTACTGCACCACGGTTCACCTGGTACTGAGCACACTGGGAGACCCCACCTTGAAACCAGTTCCCCTAAAGCTGCCTTACTAGGGAGCCCTCTGAGCGGAGAAGCCCCAGGACCACCCTCACCCCCATCCACTCCAGCTTCAGATGTCCTGTCAGCGCATTCTCTGCCCAGGGAGCCCTGCGACCACCCCGGCTCACACCCACTTCCGCTCCGGCCATCCCATCAGGCAGCCCATACAAAGTGTCCTAGGCCCCCTACACACGCCCTCCACAGCTCTGGCCAGCCACTCCGTCACCAGGCACACACAGTCTACAGAGGGGTTCCCCGACACAAGACCATTCCCTCAAGTTTAGGAGAAGTAGCTTTTCTGCCTAAGTCATAAAAAAGAACAACAGCAATAACAACCACCACACAGAAAGTCAAACAAACTGAGGAGAAAGAGAAATATGCTCCAAATGGATGAACAATACAAAACCTCAGAAAAGGAACTACATGAAACAGAGATAAACAATATGCTTGATAAAGAGTTTAAAGTATTGATCATAAAAGATGCTCACTGGGCTGGAGACAAAAGTGGAAGTACTCAGTGAGAACTTCAACAAGACATAGAAGATATAAATTAAAAAAGAAAAACAGAGCTAAAGAATATAATCACTGAAACCAAAAATGCAACACAGGGAATCTAAAGTAGATTAGTGGATTCTGAAGAATGGATCAGTAATCTGCAAGACCAGGTGATGGAGAGCTTGGAATCTGAACAATAAAAAGAAAAAAAATAAATAAATACAGCAGATGAGGGTAAGTTAAAGGATTTCTTGGAAACCATGAAGCAAGGAAACAGTCACATTATTGTGGTCCCAGATAGAGAAGACAGAGAGAGAAAGGACAGAAACCATAGTTGAAGGAATATTAGATGAAATCTCTCCTCAACTGGAGAAGGAAACAGACATCCAGATCCAGGAAGCACAGAGATTTCAAAACAAGAGCAACCCGAGGAGGCCCACAGGATGATGTAATAATTCAAGTATCAAAGGTTAAGGGTAAGGAGTTTTAGAAACAGCATGAGAGAAACAAGTTCTGTGTACGAGAAACCCCATAAAGTCATCAGGTGAATTTTCAGCAGAGACCTTGCAGCCCAGAAGACAATGGCATGATCTAGTCAACAGTCTGAAAGGAATCATCCTACAACCAAGAATACGCCAACCAGCAGGGTGAGCATTCAGAATTGAAGGAATGGCAAGCAGTTTCCCTGACAAAAAGAACTCAAAGGAGTTTATCACCCCTAAAATGGCGTTACAAGAAACGGGAAGGGACTTCTTTTAAGTGGAAAAGAAAAGGTAATAAACAGACTTGAGAAAATTATGAATACAGTGGTGGAAAATAGGACAATATACACATCAAGTGTGGAGGGGGGAGTAAAAAGTTCTCAAATGTGTTCAAACTTAAGTGACCATCAACTTAATATAGACTGCCTTATACTTCACATGTCATACATGAACCTCATGGTGACCACAAACCCGAAACCTCTCATAGATGAAAAATAGATACATGAAGAGAAAGAAAGCCAAACATAATACTACAGAAAGTCATCGATCAGATAAAACAAACAAACAAGAGAAGAAACAGAAAACAACCAGAAAACAATGAACAAAATGGCAAGAAGTACAAACCTTCCAATAAGTACTTTAAAAGTAAATGGCCTAAATACTCCAATGAAGAGATAAAGAGTGGCAGAATCAATTTAAAACAAACAAACAAAAAATGACCCATCTATATACACTGCTCAAGGGAGTCTCCCTGCAGTCCTATGATACACAGAAACTGAAAGCGAAAGGATGGAAAAAGAAAAATTATGCGAACAGAAGTGGAATAATGCTGGAGTAGCAATACTTGTATCAGACAAAATAGACTTTGAAACAAAGGCTGTAACAAGAGACAAAGAGGGGCATTACATAATGGCACAGAGCAATCAATCCAACAAGACAATGTAACAGTGTAAATGCCTATGCACCCAACACTAGAGCACCTCAATACCTAAAGCAAATATTAATAGACATAAAGGAAAAATTGACAGTAATACAGAAATAGCAGAGATTTACCACCCCATGTGTATGAGTGGAAAGATCATCGGGGCAGAAAAGCAACAAGAACCCTGTGTTTTTGAATAAGACTTCTGACCAAGTGGACTTCATATACATACACACACACACACACACACACACAAAACTTCCCATTCAAAAACAATGGAACCTACATTCTTTTCTAGTGCAAATGGCACTTTCTCATTCACACCTTAGGCCACAAAACGAATCTCAATAGATTTCAGATTAAAATCATACACAATTTTGCAACAACAGTATCAAACTAGAAACCTACCACAAGAGAAACAAAAAAAACTGGACAAAAAACCACAAAGGCATGGAGGCTAAACACCATGCTACAAAACCATCAATAGGTTAATGAACAAAGGGGAAATAAAAAATGACATGGAGACAAATGAAAATGAACACAGAGGAGTCCCAAGTCTTTCAGACACAGCAAAAGCAGTTCCAAGAGGGAAGTTTATACCAACACAGGCCTACCTACAGGAACAAGAAAAAAATTCAAACAGTCTAACCTTATGCCTACAGGGCCTAGAGAAAGAATGAAGATGTAGGTTAGTATAAGGAAGAACATAATCAAGATCACAGCAGGAATAAATGAAACATAGATGTGACGAGTGCAATCCAGCTGCCACCATCTCAGGATACAATGTGTTTTACTAATGGTTTGTGAGTGTACTTACCGGATAGAAGCCTTCCCTGTTCTAAGGGCTACAACCTCAGGAGTAGATTAGTGTTACTGAAGAAAATACTTCCAAACTGGAGAATACACAATGACTGAGGGACCCATTTCCCAGGACAAATACTCGGCCACTTGCCACATGTAGCCAGTTGCGCAACATTTCCACTGGGCCTATCATCCGCAAACATTCCACTTTGTGGAAGAAACAAATGGCATCATAAAATCCCAACTGGCAAAACCCACGGCATCTTTCCATTTGCCAAAGCCCAAAGATCTTCCCTTCATACTGTTGAATCTGAGATCCACTCCCCATGAGAGACATAAACATTCATGCTTTGAAATCATTGCTGGAAGACCAGGGAGATGTGATCAAGGGGCATATGAACCCAGCAACATAAAGGTGGTATGACGACTTAGTAAGAAATGACAGCTATAAATAGGCCCTTCCATGAAATGAGTAATTGGTGGAACAGTCTGTCTGCACCATGCGCCTGGGAGACAGATTATCAAACGTGGCCTTCAACCTGGAGAGGAGTCCCCAAAGACTCCCTCCAGTCTCTCTGGGAGGATTCATACCAGCTATTCCTAACTGCTCAATCACAAGGCACTGACTCATGGATTCATGTCTACCATTTCTTTAAAATGGCTGCAACCTCCAACTGGACAACCAAACCAATGGCTAGACTTCATCTGATTATAGCCCAAAAAAAGAAGCAGATGACATCTGAAGGGACAGCTTTCTCAAGAGGCAGGGACAGGCCAATACCGTAGTACATTCAAAACACAAAAATCTTAACAGAAACTCCTAAACTTGCTGAAATCGTGGGCCAATTTTTCTCTCTGTGGGAATTGTTGTGATTTTTGCTCTTTTACTTTACTGCTGGTAAACACACTCTCAAAGGTTTCTGGATACCAACTGTTGTTCCCTCACTGCCTTTACATATATTCAAGAGCATGACATTCTTAAATTAAAAATTAAAAACTGCTAAGTTACACACACTAGACAAAACCTTGAAAAGACATTTGACCGTAACCCCAGCGTGGTTGAATGTTAAGTTTTCTGATACTTCAGCTGCCTGCCTTCAGGACTCGGGGCTCTCTTGTGTCTAGATCTATAAATTTTATTGTTGAATATTTTAATTTTGCACTATTTGCAATTTTCCGATTGCTTATACTTTGCGTTTCTCCTTGTACTACTACTGAAAATATAAAAATGACTGTTGCTCAAAGAACAGAAGTCATCATCAGATCTACCCAGAAATGAGATCCTAGGTAACATCTAGACGTGATTTCCTCAAATCTTCTTACTAAGACGCAGTCCTAAGACTCACCTAGCATGGATTATCAATAAACTAGGTAACTTCCACCTCCCAGGGGCATGATGGGCCTGGAGCAGGTTGCCAACCACCCAGGCAATGAAATGGGAGGGCAGGAAAATACAATTTGAGCAATGATGTTTTCCTGTCAGAAAGATGTCAGAAAAAAGATGGGCTGGAATTGTGAAAGAAGATGCAAAATGAAGTAAGCTTTGCTAAGAGAGCCACTCCAACTAGAATGGAAAGGACAATAATGAAGTAAAGCATAAGCACGTCTCCTCTTTCAATTTCAAGAACACCATGAACTTTGGACTTCTGGCACCTGTAACTGCTCAGTTGCAACTGGACCACCTCCTCCAACACATCCTTCCACTTTGGACTGAAATAGAGACAATGTAACAGCTGTTCACTGCTCGCAATCAATTCTGTCAAAACAAGTGCCTGTGCTTTTCCTTCATAAACCCGCACTCCCTGCTCAAAATTAGGGGCACACCGGATTTCTCCACTCTGTGTCTCCCAGATGACAGTCCCTAATTCCCCCAAATTGAAGTTCAGCTGTTCTCCAGCATCTACTTCTCGACTGACAGGAATTAGGTACAAATGCAAAGCCCACTTTAGGCTATTTATACATCATCAGGTTATGGTAAACACCAGAGGAAACATTAAAATGCCAAAGTACACTTCAAGATAAATTCAGATTCCTGACATTGATTTGTTTACACTTAAATCTTTTGGGAAAATTTGGTCACAAGAATCAGCTCTGGGTGTCATAAATAAAATTTCTATTTTGACATAATATCAGAAATCCATCCAATGTCATCCATCATAGCCTATAAGGTACCCTAAATAGGTATACTTATATTCACACCAACAAAAAAACCTCCCCTCAAAGTCATAAACTAAAATTACTTGTTATCCGACATGTGCCAAAGTGACAGAGATTACTTGATGATATTATTCAAAAACTAAGTTCTTAAACTATACATTTTCATGACAAACTAAAGTTTTCTAAAACTGTGACAGAAAAATGCTCTATTTAGATATCAGTTGAATAAAATGCTGTGATTGCATTACCTAAAGAAGCAAAAGGATTTTATCATGTGTAAATTTATGCTGTTACTCATGGTTTTTTTTCAATCCTACTATCTTTTTTTGTGTCCTTTTTTTTTTAAGTCATAAAATATTTTAAAGAAAAACACTTTATATTTACTGCCTGGAACTGCCTATTACCCCTGGCTTTTTGGCCAAGGGGTTCTGAGTTTTCACTCTGCATGGGACCACACAGAGCATGTTGCCAGTCCGGCAGATGGTTACAATGTATGTGCCCCCTGCAAGACAGCTCTAGGGAGTGGATGGACAAGGGGTGAACCCCGCAGACAGGTTGTGGGTCTAAACACTAAGAGTGCACAGACTGACCTCAGCAGCCAAGAGGATCCTGCCCAGCTATGACCTGCCTCATCTCATGAGTCTTCCCCTGCAAAAGTAGGCTGGACCCATGACCTGCACACACGCCATGGCAGCCCACATCCAGTGGTGGGGAGGACCCACTGTCCACTCAGAACTATCCTCATTACAGAACGGAAATTCAGGATGGAGGGCAAGAGAGAGGGAGGTCAAAGCACTAAGGGTCTTTACAATCTGAAACACATGAGAAACCCAGTGTTTTCCAAGAGTATTTTTCTGTCCCCTGCAGAAAAGGAAACTTCAAATCCAAAATAATGAAATTTATTGGAAAATGAGGGAGATAGGTTTGTATACTTAGCAGTCCGCCCCTGAGATAACATTAGTAATTGTCACTCTTGGCTCCAAGGGGCTCCTGGAAGGAAAACAGGGCCATCCGGGGGAAAGGGGCACTGTAGGAAGGACTTTTTCTTAAAGATTTTATTTATTTGAGCGAGCGAGAGAGAGGGAGAGAGCACATGAGTGGGGTGAGGGGCAGAGGGAGAAGCGGACTCCCCACAAAGCAGGGAGCCTGATGCCGGGTTTGATGCCTGAACTCCAGGGGCATGACCTGACCTGAAGGCAGACACTTAAACCTGCGGTGCCCCCAGACACCCCAGGAAAGACTTTTCAAAACAATGTTTTATTAATAAAAGTTTAAGGAGGGCATGTACTGCATGAAGCACTGGGTGTTATATGAAAACAATGAATCGGGGATCACTGCATCAAAAACTAATGATGTATTGCATGGTGACAAACATAATAAAATAAAATTAAAAAAATAAATAAAAATAAAAGTTTTCTAGAATAGCAAATATAAAATGAAAATTTAAGTCTCCTTTGTGGCCCCTCCAGGGGTATCCTTTTTTTTTCTTTAGTTTATAAAATACAGTGCAGTATTAGTTTCTGGAGTAGAATTCAGTGATTCATCACTTACAGGCAGCACTCAGTGGTGATCACAACAAGTGCCCTCTTTTATACCCATCGTCCATCTACCCATCCAAGACCCACTTCCCTCCATCAACCCACAGTGTGCAGAGCTGCCTGCACTCTGAAAGTTCTATCATGACCAACCCATGGCCATGGTGACCGATGATGCAACCTTTCCTCCCATTCCAACTGTCACTCTGTGAGCCGAGCCCTGGCAGTTTGGTAACAGGTGTGAAGTTTCCCACGATGGGCAACCTGAATTGCTGTTGTACAGGTATGTTCATATGGATTTTCTGAATTCTCTTTTCTCAAGGTGGCTGCCTCACTTCTAGAGAAATTTCTTTCCTTTTTTTTCTTTTCCTGTCCACCCTCCAAGTTGTCCACACTGATAGATGAATATTCTACGTTTTCCGTATTAGATACTTTTGATTTTTCAATGACGCTGGCTTCCTTAAATAGCTTCTAAATCCAGAAAACTGTACTATTTCTCAGTGCCAATTTCGTACATAGTCATACCAAGAATGCACACAGGGAACAAACCACACTGCTCTCATTGGATCAGGAGAATCTTGATGCCATCCAGCAACACATTATAGGGAAAGGAGTTACAAGTCACCTCTTCTCAAGGTGGACGACAAAATCTGGAAGCAACTGCGAGCAGTCTAAATGCAGACATTTTTAGGAGAGAAACTGGACTATCTTGTGGTATTTTCATGAGTTGATGTGGAGGTTCACTGGCTGTCTGGATGTTGCCTGGGAGTGAACGAGAAGGGACCGTGCCATCAGGTAGGTGGAATGAACATTTGGCAGCTGAGTAATGGACTGTCTCTCTCCAAAGACAGTCCTATCCAAAGATAGTTCTGAAGGTCCTGTGTATGGAGGGACTCTCTAAGAGGAGACAGGACACTGTCCCCTACCGCCACAGTGTCTAGAGGATGAAGAGACCTGAGAGTAGAGAGTGGATGTGGGAGGTAGGTAGGAAGAAGTAGGGAGGAACTCACTCCAACCAGTGTAGTCTCACTTTAGTCAAGGCCCCTCAGACCATTCCTTAGATCAATAGTAGGACATTCAGCATCATAGATTTATTTCCTTAAAGCAAACATCCCCAACCCTGATGGCCACTTCCACATTAATTCCCATGAATTGATCCTCGGAATTGGTCAGCTGAAAGCAAGCGAATTCTCGGTAGGGTTTAGAATAGCCTGGATTTGGAATCAGCTTGGAGCCAAGGAGATTGTCCGTCACAGTGGGTGCTCAACTGGCTTTTGGGAAGGCCCTGGGGGACTGAGCTGACACTGCAAAGAACTGGGGAAAGTGGCCAAGCTGCACTTCCCTGATCCTTTGCTGGAGCTCCATTTGGAAGAACCTGCAGCATATTTTATGTCCGGAACCCTAACATAGAGGTAAATTAGGATTGAGACTGTTCTCATGGCACAGACACCTCCTGCAGGGCACAGGTGGATTTGGAGAGTGAGGGCAGCTCTTGGTTCAGGGGTTCAGGACATTTTCTCGGCAGCCCTGAGAAGGTGCCAGGTCCTCAGGATCTCTCCCCCCAGGGAAACAACTACATTCCTGTCCCAGATCCATCACTCACCAGCGTGGCCACTCTGGACAGCCATTTCATCTCCAAAACTTTCAGGGCCCTCCACTGTAAAATATGGGCTACCACCCCCATATTTTCCGCTCCAGTGGTGCTGGTGCGGGGATTACAAGACAGGATGATATGTTTTCTGTGAGCTGTAAAGCTTCATTCCCATGTGAAGGATAAAGAGTGAGCTTCCAACCTCCCATGCAGTGGAGTCACCTGAGTCCCATGTCTGGATTCACCCACTACCAGGTGTCTAGCTCATTCTATAGGAAATCAGAACCTGACTACCTCCAGAGCAACGGTGAAGCATCAGTCCTTTACTATGTCCAAGGCTCTACTTGGAGGAAATCACTTTTAGCGTCACAACAGTACACAAGTGAGTAGGAGATATGAATATTTCCACATTTCAGAGCAGGAAACTGAGACACAGAGGGCTCTCGGTAACTCTCTCAGCTATGGGTACCTTCTAAATGGGATGTGAATCCAGGCCATCGGGCGCGGTCATTGTGCTTTGCTGAGTTTCTATCACGTCTCTACTAAATCACAGTAGTTGCCCACAAAACTTGTCTGTTGGGGGATTTCAGGGCACACCACACTGCAACATCTTCCTAAGGCCAGCGTTGAAGGACGAATGTCTGCTAGACAGCTGGTGAGTAGGGGGAGCAGAAGGTTGAACTAGGAGTAAATTAGGACTCCTGCCCCGATGGTCTTCTGCCAGCAAGATGCCAACACTGCTCTCTCTTTCTATGCATTTCCCAGGACCATGTGTGGAAGGAGAGAGGGAAGTTGTGGAGCCCCCCACAACCACGTCGGCCTCTTCCACAGAGAAAAAGAAAAGAGTCCGCTTCTCCCTCCACAACCAGGTCTTCCAAATCGGGGACACCGAGGAAGGTACGGTGGAAATTTACCCATTAAGTTGATTTAAGAATAAGTCATTCAGAAGCACAGACAGAACAATATAAAAATGCTGAGACAGATTTAAATTTATTAAGTCCATCACCATTAAGTAGGTAGTCAAGATGAATTTCTCCCTGAAATTGGATCCATGTGTCATAGGAAAAAACTGTCTACTAGCGGAATGTATGGACCTTAGCTGTTTGTTGAACACAAGTCAATATACATCTCTCCATGAAACTCTGTTTCTAGAGTTTTAGTAAGTAGGTGACAATGTTTTGAACCAGATTAGATTAAAATAAAATTGGAACAGATAAGACAGGAAGTTTCCATATCCCACCCCTCCACTTTCCTCCATTAACCACATCTTACATGTGTGTACAATACACCTTACAATTAATGAAACAACCTCAAACTTTTAAAGAACTAAAGTTCACAGTTTACAATAAAATACATTCTTTGTGTTTACCATTCTACACGTTTGACAAATGTGTAATGTCAAGTATTCCCGTTCCGGTAACAGACAGAAATCTGTGCACCAATGTTCGAGACAGTAGTATTTCCAGTAGCCATAGATAGACACAACCCAAAAATCCATCCTGTGAGGGAAGGACACATTAAATGAGATACGTACACATAATGGAATGCTATTCAGTCATATAAAAAACTAAAGTATTTCATATGCTACGAAATGGATGGACCTTGAAAAACGAAGATGCTTTTTGAAAGAAGGCACGCACAGAAAGACGTGTATTACACGATCCCACTTTCTGAGGAAGCGAGAGTAGGGAAATTCGTAGACCCAGAAAGTAGAAAGTAGGACGGAGGGAGGAAGGGGGGAGGTGCAGTCATTTTTCATGGGTACAGAGGTTACTTAGGATGGAAATGCTCTGGATATAGATGGTAGTGCTGTCTACAAAGCCTTACGAATGTAAATAGTGTCGCTGAGTATACACTTATTAATAAAAGCATTAACACTACATAGATTCCATCCCATAAAAACCTAATAATCCGAGGCAAAAGAGGACAGATACCGTCGCTGCATATACGCCGGGATGAAAGCTGAACTGGTCCCGTGACGGGGGAGGAAGTGGGACTGTGGCTGGCCTTCACAGTGGGTTGGAGGGCTCAGGGGACTGCGCCATGAAACACACTGTGCCTTGAGACTGACGATTTCCCATTGAGGAGATGCCCTCAGCTTGAAAACCAAGGCCCCGTTTCTCTTTTCCCTCCTGCTCCTCTCCACTGTATTTCTTCATACGCCAAGGAGATTGGCCCGGCTTGTTCACCGATCACATATCTTCACTGTGGCCCCAGGGCCACATCAGGCAAAACTACCTAAGTCATTCCTGAGCAGCGCAACCAATACCCTGACAGCTGCTCTGTGTTCTCCTAGATCCTGTGGAGCGCCAGACCGACGACCTTCCCAGGGAGAGGACAGAGGAAGGGGCCCCACCTATCCCTGAGGTAAGCTCACCTCTCTTTCTCTGAGATAGGAATGTCCCTTCCTTGATTTCTTCTTCAGTCAATGCAGGATGAAAATCCGGCACTACACCTTAGAGATGACATAAGCAGTCTCCTTTGTTGGGAGGAATGCTCAGTGAAAGTCTGTTACGAACTGACAGTGGACACAAAACGGGTGATGAAAGAGGACAGCCTCAGTTACAAACTGTATGGGGTCAAACACCTTCTTCAGCAGAAAATGGTTTGCCTTGAAAAAGAATTTTCTCTCTGTTGATCCGAATGGACTTCAGAGATCTGCCATGAAAAGCTCAAACATCAATACATATGTCCTCTTTCATTTGGGTGGGGGCACATTGGCTCAACCACTGTACCCTACCCATCCAATTACCTGAAGTCCTTGCACCAAACAAAAGAGCTGTGTCAACAGTGTACAGGATGGTGTGATCCTCACAGTGTTTTATTTTCTCCAATCACAGGTGGATGCTGCGAGAAACGAAAACTGTACGTATTTAAGAGTATCACTCTTTGTGGTGAAGTCTAGGGTAAAAAGAAGTTTGCAACCTGATTTTGGGTTCCTCCAGGGAATGAGGGTTGGGGTATACTGAGAGAGACTGTCCCATAAAGCACTGTGATCACGTTGTACAGGGCCTGGAAGGACTATGGCATATAGAAGGTAGGACTCGTGTGAGGGTGGGTTGAAGGGCGCACACGCGCATGTGTGTGTGTGGGTATGTCTATGTGTTATGATTGTTAATGTAAATGTGTGCAATCTGAGGAGGTATTTCTCACACTTCCATCATAAAAGAACTGGCACCCTTCCGAAACACTCAAAACACCATGGCACACTTTACATACTCATTCCCTCCCTCACCACAGCTGTACCTAGAGGATGTTTCCATTTCCTTTCCTGAGATGGGAAAGGTACAGAGATGAATGCTCCAAACCCTTGACCTCCTACATGGAGAGCCAAGCTGGGAACCCCGATGTCAATCTGAATACCGCTCTGGGCTATGGACCTGCACTGATCACTCAGCCAGGTGGTCATGAACTAGCAAAGGAGCGAGCTAGCAAAGGAGCACCAGCATCTGTTTACACGGCCAAAACACTAGATCCTACCAATGTCCCCTACACTGCCCAACATTACACAGTGGCCTCCATGCTCACATAAAGCAGGGCAACTATAGGAGCCCATATCAACGATTTTGGCCTGGTCCCTGGACTCGAGTGCACATAGAAAGGCCACATCGTCCTGGTCAAGCCCATCGATGCTGGAAAGTGTATGGCCCCATGGAGGACAGCATGGGGCAACATCTGTCATAGCTGGGGTCGCTGTGTATACATGACCAATAACAGAGAAGAACCAGGGAGGTCATTTAGTGTACTTGGTAAGATTTCCATAAGCCTCAGGAAGGTTCAAATTCTGTAAGCACACACTCACGGACCACTGGCAAATAGGCACTCACGGTCAACCTTGGTTGTAAGGTTTGTGCCCAACACCCCTGTTGCAAATCATCCACACAGCTGGCGCTCACTCCAGGCCTCCTCTGTGTAAGGAACTTCCCATTGGTCAGATGGCCTGGGCAAGTGTGGACAACCACTGTCTTGATGGACACAACCACCTTGTACAGCCCAAGAAAAGTGGAAGCAATATATCAAACGGATTGACAGTGGCTATTTTTTTTTTTTACAAGGAAGGGTGTCAATATTTTCAAATATTGTATATTTGATTTTCTTTAGGAGAAATGATTAATGAAGAGAACTACTAGGATACTTTCCCTAGGACTGAATTCAGCCCTGCAAGAAAGGCTGCTTTTCATGCAGTGCAAAATCTTACAAACATGACAAACAGAATAGCGGCACATGGGGATCCTGGGGCAAGAACTGATTTCCAAAGAAGAAGAGAGTGACAGTTTAGTGGCACTTCAGTCAAGAGAGGTTACGGGACTCAGTCCTCACACAGATGCCACTTTAGGGTTTACATGTATTTGATTGACTATTGCGCTTTGATCAGGCTCACCTTAGCTAGAGAGACAAAAGCCCTGTTCTCATTTCCTTCCTGCTCCTCTCGCATCCCTTCCTCCGTCCACAAAGGAGGATGCCCAGCAGCGGTGCAGTCCATACATCTTACCCACCCACACGCACACACTCGCCTCCTGTCCTCATCCACCCACACTCCCTGACTAGTTTCTGAGCAGCCACACCAGTGTCCTCACAGTGGCTCTCTATCCTCCTAGCTGGTCCCGAGGGCCTGCTGGAAGGACCCAGTTCAAAGGCAGAGGAAGAAACTGCGACTCTCCTTCAGGTAAAGTTATTTTTTTAAAGATTGTATTTTTATGAGAGAGGAAGAGAGAGAGAGGAAGCAGGGGGAGTAGCAGAGGGAGAGGGAGAAGCAGGCTCCCCGTTGAGCACGGAGCCCAATGTGGGGCTCCATCCCAGGTCCCTGGGATCATGACCTGAGCTGAAGGCACACGCTTGAACAACTGGGAAACTCAGGCTCCATGGTAAAGTCATTTTCTGTGGCTGAAGTACAACCATTGCCATTTCCATGAACAACTGAGCATGTACATTCCAGAGGATATATACAATGTCCTCGGTGTTGAGAGTTTCCTGTGAGTGTATACTACTAACTGACCCGTATTTAGAGGGGCATTAAAACAAACAAACAAACCTCACCACCAATTAGTTACACAATGTAGCGAGCATTTTCTAGGAGATAATTTTGTCTGTGGAAAATAACTTTGTATTTGCTGACTCAAATGGACTTGTGAGATCTGATTATCAAAGGTGGAGCCTCTTTTGCAGGCGATTTTATCAGTTTTTTTCATCATAAACTCAGTAACTGTATCCCACCTAGCTTGCTTACATCACCAAGAGAACAAAAGATATGTGCAAACGGTGTGCACAGGATGATATGATCCTCACAGTGTTTCCCTTTCTCTAACTGTAGGAGGAGGCAACCGGAAATGGTCCAAGTACGTATTCTAAGATCAGTCACTTCTTGAGGACAAATCTAGCTGATGAACAAAGTGGGGCTTTCACCTCCCCTTTGGTCTGGAGAGCTTCCCTGATTCTGGGCTCCTGCTGGGAATGGAGGCTGGGGCTGAGTGAGAAAAACTGACTGTCCTGTAGAAACCTATGACCCTGTTCTACAGTCCCTGGAAGCAAGTAGGTCATTTAGGTGGTGTGGCTGGTGTGCATGAGGGTTGGGGGTTGTTTCTGTGAGTCGATGGGATGGGATTGTGCATGTGGGTGTGTTGAGTGCGTATGTTTCACCGGAAGACATTTCCCACTTACACACATCAATAGAAGTGGCACCTTTCCAAAGGTAAACCTCATCCGCACAGTGCACACCACGTAGGACACCACATTCCTCCCTGACCACAGCTACACCTGGAGGTTTGCTTAGGGCTCCCTTTCCTAGGATGGGGATGGGGCAGAAATGAAGGGCCCAACATCTGTCATAGTTGGGGACAATTCCCATACATGACCAAAGCAGAGAAGAATCAGGAAGACATTTTGGTTTATCAAAAAATCATCTTTAGCCTTCAAAAATGCTCACATCTTGAAAGCACATGCTGAAGGGCAAGTGGCAAATGGGGACTCCCACTAAAGCTTCATCATTAGGTGGGTGCCCGACCAAACTTGCTGCAAATCTCCTGCATGGCCAGGTGAGAGAGTGTCCGTGCTCTCACCAGACCTGCCCTCTGTAATGAACTTGCCACTTGCGATGAACTTCCCACGGACTCAAAGGACACACACACATTGCACAGAAACGGAAGACTGGAAAGAAACAGCACGTCATTGACGGTGGCTATTTTGAAATGCAGGCATGTCAGTATGTTGAAAGCTTGTATCTTTGATTTTCCTCATGATAAATCATTAGTGAACAAATACAAAACTGGAGGGTACTTCTGGTAGGATTGAATGTAGCCCTGCAACACGGTGTTCTTTAAATGAATTCCAATCTTCTAGAAGAGATGAGATCTAGCTAGGAGCAACGTAGGTTTATCCTGGCAAAGAAACTCTTGAAAATGGCCACAACACAGGCGCAGTGTTGCTGAACTTCCGAGAGTCAGTAGGGTCACAGGACTGTGTCAGTAAAACGTAGCATGCATATTAGTGTTTAACCTCTTTCAGATTCACGATTTCAGCCTGATTCAATTCCCTGTAGCTAAAATTCAGAAGCAGTGTTTCTCTTTACTTTCCTGCTCCTCTCCCTGACCTTTCTTGAATCAGCAGCAGATCAGTCCACACTCATGAACCACCCTTGCCATACTGTTGTGCGCATGTCCACACCAAGCAAAGCTCCCAAAGCAATTCCTGAGCCGCCCCACCAGTGTCCTGACAGTTTCTGGGTGTATCTACCTAGCTTCCCGGGATGGCCTGATGAATAACCTTTCCTGGGAGAGTGAAGAGGCAGAGGGCCCATTCTTCACCAAGGTGGTAAGCTGGCCTTTCTTTGTGTGATACAACATTCTTTTTTTCTCTTTCAATTGAAGTCAGATACAAAAATCTCAGCAAGTACAATTTACGTGGTGGGGAGAATGGTTAGTGAGAGTCTATTATCAACTGATACTTGATTCCAAAGACATTGGAAAAAACAGCAGGATCAGTTACACTGTGCAGGCCAGCGGGTAGCAGCATTCCTCCTTGCCAATGATTTGGGACATGCATCCTGTAGGAGGATCTGATGCCTGTGTCCATGACTAAGTTTGCTCTGTTCATGCTTTGGGCTTCGCTGGCCTCTGTCACCCTTTCCCACCTGGTTTTCTCCCATCCCCAAGATCACAAAAGAGCTGTGCAAATAGGACAAGGCATGATTCGATGCTCATAATGTTTTCTTCTCTGAAATCACAGGTGGCCCTGCTGGAACCTGACAGTGGTAAGTATTCTGTACTCTAGAGTCACGCACTTGTTGGAACAAGGTGGAAAATGGGAAAAGTGGGGCTTTATTGCAGGCTCAATGTTGAGAGCTGCCCTGATTCCAGGTCCTGCTGGAATGAGAATAAGGGTCCAAGTACCAGAAGGGGATTTTCCGGGTAAAGACCCGTGGCCACATGGCACTGTCCCCGGAAGCTACTGTGCTGCCCTTAGGTGGTGTAGGTTTGTGTGGGGGGCAGTAGGTGTGTCTACATGTGAATCCATGTGCTGTGATTCTCAGGGTTTGTGTGTGTGCGTGTGTGTTAGTTTGGCGAGTGGTGTGTTCCCCTAGGTGTATGTTTCCTTAAACACTGCAATTAATGGTGCCCAATTTCTCAATGAAATTTCCCATCACCATCAAATCATGAATGTATATGCATGTGAAAACACTTCAACATGCACAATTTAAATATGTGTTCCTTCCTTGCAAATACACATCAATTCACCTGGAAAACAAACCTCATCACTAACTAGGAAGAGAATAACCACAGATTCGTGTTTCACAATCTGTGTTCCTGAGTCAGCGTCCATGAGACTCTCACCTCATGGCAGGTCGCGTGGCATGAATGGTCATGGTCCCCCGCTCTTGCCACTTCACTCACACACAATGCTCTTCTTTGGAGGCCCCACAGTGAGTCTTCCCACCCCAGTATGAAGCACTGAGTGCTGGAACAGACTCCTTCTTCCTGCAGGTGGCTTCTGGGTAGCCTCGGGCCACACCCAGATCTGGGGGGAACCTGAGAAAGACAGCTGCCAGGAAGAGTGGGGGCCAATTCACTCCGTCTTTCTCCTTTGATATGTACCATTTGCCTTCAGATACGGTGTCTAAGAATAAAACTGTCATTCTCACATGGAAAATCACAAGCCCACCACTGATCCTAGGTGTGGCTCTCTGAGGTGGGCCAAAAAAAGTGTAAGATGAAAGGAGAAATGAGGTCCTCTTCAGGGACTGAGCATCATTGTGGGTACCTGGGCCTCTACCAAGGAGGAAGAGTGCCCTGTGCATCATAAGGTGGGGAAAGAGAACCTCAAACCTCAACAGTGTGACGGGAGAATCACCACTCCCTTCCCTGTCCATCTGCCAGTGCAAGAGGGGCTTGTTTGATTCTGAAGGCTTTTGCAAGTAAACAAGTCAAGGTAGTTCTTTTAAGTCACTGTGAATGTAAACAGAGCCAAATTAGGGTTTCCGTTTTCTTTTGGAGCATAAATCTTCTGAGAAACATGGATTTTAAGAGGAGCTGATTTTCAAACACTTATTTTCCTCAAAGAAACAGGAACAAATAGACTGCTTGATTCTGAAATGTCATTCGTTTGCTCTACTAACAACTGTCCCACTGAAAGAAGGAAGGTTGTCCTAGAAATCCTTAATCTGTACATCGTAGTTTCCACTGCTGGAGGCTGACTGCAAAGTTTCGAGATCAGGAGCACCAGTGTTATCTGAGCCCACATTGCCCACACGTAGCATAATGTTAGCTCCTTCGTGAATGGGGATGAGAAAGGTCGTGGCCAACTTGCTGGGGTCACACTGTGTAGACATCTTCTTTGGCACCTGGACAGAGCAGCTTTCTGTCATCCTCTCCATCTAGCTGTGCGACCCTTCCCCTCTTTCCCACCCACCAAACTCTGTCGGTCCTTTTCAGCTTCATACTTTAGATCACGTAGATTTTGATTGCGGTATAAACACATGTCACAACGCATCTACCCTCTTGACGAATTTCCAAGTGTATGGCACATTACTGTCAACTCAATGTGCATGGTTTTGCACCAGGTCTCTAGATTCTTCTATCTGGCATGACTCAATCTCCACAAGCATGCAACAGCAACACACTGCCTCCTCCCTAAACTCTTGGCAACCACCCTTCTGCTCTCTGCTTCCATGACTCTATTTGACATTCCTCATGTAAATGCAATCAGACAGTAGTGGTTTCTTGGTGATTGGCTCCTTTCACTCACATTAGTGTCCCCGATGACATTCATGGGTCCACAATGACAGGTATTCCTCCTCCTCTAAAAGCTAAATAAGTTGGATATTGTATGGATATACCAATTTGTCCTTGAAATTCATCTGTAAGTGAACCCTGGGCTATTTTCCATACCCTGGGTACTGTGCATAATGCTGCAAAGATGGGACTGCAGGTGTATCTTCAACATAATGATTTAAATTCCTTTTTCTGGACACCCAGACGTGCGAGTGCTGGATCTATGGGAGCTCCTTTGACAACTGTTTGAGGACACTCAACACACGTTTCCAGGGTAGTTGCACCATTCTGCATTCCACTAATAGCATACAAAGACTCAAATTTTCTGCATCCTTCCAACATTGATTTTGGGTTTCAATTTCTGGATTGGGTCCTCGCTACCCTAACAGATGAAGTGATAGCTCATCAGCCTTTGGATTTACGTTGCCCCCATGATGCCTTAGGTTGAGCATCTTTTCAGATGTCTGTTGGCCAGTGATTTGTTTCCTTTGCAGCAAAGTCTATTCCACTCTTTTCCGTAATCTCTAATTTGGTTAAATACTGTTCATATTTTCTTTTCCCTTTTGTAAATGAACACATTTTCTGATAGAAGGATTGCAAATATTGTCTCCAATATGTAGGCTGCCTTTTCATTCCGTTAGTTGTTTCAGGAGACTATGCTTTTTCTAATGTGTAGTCTTGTCAAGGATCATTGTGCCATGAATGAGTGCATTTATTTGGGGGCTATTTTGCTCCAACGTGTCCCTGCCTATTTTTATGCCAGCACCATGCCTTTTGCTTGGTGTAGGTAGGTATAGATAGTATTTTAAAGTCAGCATCTACATGCTGGCTAACTGAACATAATAATAATAATAATTTAAAAAAAAAGTCAGCATCGATGGAGCCACCACCTCGTTCTTTATTCTCTAGAATGTTTTGGCTTTTTGTGTTCCTTTGTCGTTCCATATATATTTTAGCAGTTTTTCTATTTCTATAAAATGACATTGTGATTTGGGTAGGTGTTGCATTGAATGTGTACACCCTTTCTTCTAGGAACTTAGTGTTCCCCTTACTCTCTTACTGTCCAAAGGCCTCCAATAGTGCCTGGCAGGTGTGCGTGAGCCCAGGGACTACCCACATATAAATGGTCGTATCAGGCCAGCAATTAATGCGAGAGAAATAAGCAGGGGAGCAGGGGTTTTGTCTAGCTCATTGGTGGCTACTAGTGCTGTGCTATCCAAGGAGCCTGTCTACAATCCATTTGACACAGTTATTCGTTAACTCAATGAAGTATACTAAAATAATAAAATAAAATAAAACGTCCAATGGCTCACTCACAGTAGTCACATGTCAAGTGTCCCATTCCTGTTGGAATTTCAGATTCTGACATTGGAGGGGAGAGCTGTAACGGGTATGTGGAACGGACACTCTGAGGTGATTCCTGCATCTTGCTCTCATTAGAAGGTTTGAAACTGTCATCCCTGGCTTGTTGAATGGCTGAGTCCACCAGCCCCATGAACATCTGACACCATACCAGAAAGGTCGGGCAGATGCTGCATGACCCGTAGACAGCTCAACTAAAGTGGTATGAATGGCTGAGTCTCTCCCTCTAATAACAGGAATGTTCCTCTTTCAGTTGCTACAGATTTGCATGTGGAGACCATACACGACTCCAGCAGTGAGGAGGAAGCACTCAGCGAACAGTACTCAGGTAGGGAATAGTGGGAGAAGGCCCCTGGGCACGTGGGGTTGCACCTGCCGCTCTGGAGAATGAAGAAGGTGGATAAGAAATCAGAAAGGAAAGGGAAACATTGGCAACAGGGATGATTTGTTCATTTCATCTTTTCTGACTGAGAAGGAGAGAAATTGTGTCTGTGGGCGTTTAGTGTATGCTGGGTTTGGAATCATCACTCCTTGGAGGACTATTTTCATGATCTTTCCCATAAAACCTGCACTTCCCTCCCTCTGCCGCTGCCGAATGTCAAAGTTTGGTTTCTTTGGTCACTGCCCCTCGGGGATTGTGCACGAGAGCTTCTGTACTTTTCTTGTCATTGACCTAAATGCACATGACTCGGCGGCCACAACAACCCTCTCCCGCACACGAGCACCAGGACACTAAGTGCTAGTGAGAGCCAGGAGCGGGAAGAGAGGTAAACTCTCTCGCTCGTAATGTCCAGGACCTGTACCAAACCTTCCTGGTTCTGTCCTGGTGGCTGTACCTTAAAGAGGACACCCAGAGCTGGAGAAGGTAAAGAACATTTCCGCTGGCTGCACTACATAGGCTGCTATGGCCCTTAGCTTCCGCCAGCCTTCACAGCCCACCCACGGCTGACCTGGGCACATGCCTCCAGGGGAAAAAGGCCCCTGTGCAGCTGCCTGGGAGACCCTCGGTGGCGGAACAGGGGTCCAAGAGGCCTGTATGAAGGTGCGGCTGGGCCTGCGGCACCCACTCACTGTCACAGCCCCGCTGACCTGTCACCAGGTGTCATCTAGGCATAGGACAGAGCCTCTGGGCAGCAGGGCCAGGGAGTCACTGCTCCTCTCCCAACCCCCGTCCCCGGGCTCACAGCACTGGCCATGCTCCTCACTCCCCAGTCAGGCCCACCCTGTGGGAAGGGAAAGGAGCATCCTTAGGAGAGGAGGAGGAAGGGGAGCAGGAAGCGAGAGGAGCAAGCAGGGAGGAAGGCAAAGTCCTGCAGAGATAGTCATGGGGACAGTGAGTGCCTACAGCAGGGACATGAGGACACAGACTTCATTCCTGGTCAAGGAGAGAACCGGAGCTGGGAAAAGCAGGTGGGAGCTCAGAGACCCACTTCCACCCTGTGCAGAGAAAGGCACCAAGGCCAGGGAGGACTCAGAGCTGAGGACCCATCAAACTGAGGTCAGAGCCCAGCATCCCGAGAGCAACAGGCCATAGGCTGTCACCTCCACTAACTCTCCTTTGTCCTCTCCCACAGCCCCCGAAGCATCACCACCGCTCTCCGCACACGAAGAGGACTCCATGGATGAAGAGGATTCCGATGGAAGAGCAACACTGTGCCTGTAATTCATTTCCTCCTGCAGCTCTTGTCCCTCCTCTCTCTGCCGTATATGAGCACCTCTTCCTAGCTCCTCCTCATTCCCTGGTTTGACGAGGCCCACCCTGGAGGACCTGGTCTCCTGCAGGCACTGAGGCTTTGCATCTGCAGTGCTCATGAAATCACTCCGCAGCCCTCCTCAGCCCTTTCTTAGCATCACCCTGACCCCTCACCACTGAGTCTGGGAAGCAGCCCTGAACAGCTGAGCAGGGAGCCGGGCTGGAAGTCCGCAGGGCAGAGCTCACCCTGCTGGAGGGGCTTGGGGATGGGAGGCCAGGCCTGGGACACCCACTTGGGTCTTTCCTGCCTGGGAAGATGGTTATGCCTGATTCTGCTCTTCCTTGCAGCCCTCAAGATGCTTCCCTTCTACAGAATTGTGAGACAAAATAAGGGAAGCCGTCTCTCAATCAGAAGAGAAGGACTTATGAATGGGGTGAGTTTGGCAGGAAACGGGGAAGGCACACATGCACACATGTTCTCCATCGCTTCCCTGACTCACTTGTTGGCCCCTCAGGAAACCACACAAAACCTGGGAGGCTGCCCTAGCGCCTGAGCACAAAGAGGAGACAAGAGCAAGGTCCTAGTCCCTGCAGGCTCTAGGATGCCCCGAGCACATCCCGCGGGGAACCTGACCCTGATCCGTACAACTTCCTGTGCTGGTCGGGCTATATCCTCCAGCAGCTGCTGACCCTGGAGGGAGGGCAATGGGTACCTGTAGGGACCGGAGCCCAGAAGGTGTATGCACTGTGCTCTTCTGGAAAAGGGCCCCGGGAGTTCTTGATCCCCACTCTGCAGGACCCAGGCCTGCCCTCCCAACCTGCAAAACTCAGCAGAGAGCTTCCTTCAGAACATCACTAATTGGGATGAGATAGTGGTGGGGTGGCCCAATCGCCACTTCACGCATCTGAGGAACGAGTAAATAAGACCGGCCCCCGGGCTAATGTGAACAGAACAGCTCACCTCGCCCAGCGGTGCATACCTGTGGGCACATAGTAGGCCCCGGTATCAAGCTGACACATGTAGGACTGCCACTCACGTGGGAGCTGCCCCACTCCTTGGGCCCCCTGAGCCTCCAAGAAGCCTTGTGGCAGGTAGGGGGTCACCTCCTGGCACCGTTTCTCCATGTGAGTTTGAGGTTCTATTGATTCTGCTCAGTCTGTAGGCAAGACTCTCAGGGGAAGCCCACCCAGTCTCTCCTCGACTCAGCCTTTTGCAACTCCTACATATAGAGGCCCCCAACTGACCAACAGTGACAAATAGGTTGGGACATCTCTACGCCCCTCTTCAGCAGGAAGAAGTTACAGAAGATGAGACCTTCCACCTTCAACAAACTTCAAGATATAAGGGTCAAAACTGTTCACCAGAAGCTGGCACCGAACACCGCCCCGCCCCCCATGTGATTTGTGTGACAATCCTCAGGCACTCCTGGCTGTCCCTGTGCTGTAATAAAATCACCTTTTTGCAACCAACGTCTCAAGAACTCTTTCTTGACTGTCAGCCTCGAACCCTAACGTCTTTTTCTACATCAGTCCTCACCTCTTGTAAGGCCCATGTGGAAACACCCCTGCAATACTGTCACATTTCTTTCAACACATTCGTCTCTAACCACCTAACCTGCGGCTCATTCCGTAGCCTCGGAGAACAGGAGATTTCTGTTAGTCTTGGTGAGAAACTGTGACATGGCACCTCTTTCAGTCCCTCGCTTTTGTTGATTTTCCCCATCTTAATCTCCCCCAGCATCCCATCCTCATGTGCTTTTTCTCACATTTTAACTTGTCAATAGGTTCTAATCACCAATGTCCTGTAACGTATTTCTGCTCCTTGGTAGACAATTCCATTTCATTTCTTTGTGATCAAGGTCAAATTTTAACACTGATGCTTGCCTCGCAGCTTTCACAACATTTTCTTCCCCCTCATGCCTCTCTACCTCTTTCTCTTTTCCCTTTTTTTTTTCAGGCACTTTTTTTTAATTTTTATTTTTGATTATGCTCAGTTAGCCACGGTACAGTACTTCAGTCGTTTTTGATGTAGTGTTCCATGACTCATTAGTTACGTTTTACACCCAATGCTCATCACAGCCACTTGCCCTCCTCAATACCCATTACTCGGTGGCGAACTCACATGAACTCATGTGGGGGAAACACTAGAGCAGGATCGTAGTGGGAGAAGCTTCAGGTGGAGCTCCAGCCTGAGCTTACACCAAGAACTCGGGGTGCGTGACCTCCCTGACGCAGTAGTGAAGGTGCAGGAACCCTCCTGGGACACCCTGGATCATCGCTACCGCTGAAATCCAAGGAAATCAATGTGGGAATCCCATTACACGTGGAGCCAAAATATCAAGGACCTGGGAGGACTCACGCAAAATAAAATCCTCTCAGTGGGATGAGGAAGGGAAAGTCCTCACTTATCTCATATTCCTTAGTGAACAAGGACATCCTCACACTGAGGAAACACCGATTCCAAAGCTAGGTGGAAAATTCCTCCCCTGACAGTCACATCAGAAAACTCCAACTGGGAACATACTTCACAAAAAATTTTTCTTTTTATTGTGAATGGAGACAGGAGCTCAAACATTGGCAATTGTACATTACAAATACACACAATGGTGAAGTGTTCTGAGAATTGTTGAATGCGACATTTAGGAACAGGTAACAAAGAAAGGAGGCCATCTCACTTCAATAGATCAGTATTCCAAACATGTCAGCACTACGGAGTGGACGTGTGTCTGTCAAAACCACGAACAGTGTGCTAAGTAACAATTCCCAACTCCTTCTTCAACAAAAGCCCAAATGAAGAAGAACAAAGAGCATGGACTGATGCCAGGTGATTCTGTCTACCAGAAGAGACACCAAATTAAAGACTCTCCACAACCAGGACAGAAGGGACCTCACCAGGCCCTATTAACCACTTCCTGGGACAGCAAATTAGAGGGAATCAACCAAAGGAATGGACTTCAACTCCTACGACTGACACCCAGCTCCTCCTAGGATGACATTCACTTTCAGCCCAGGATGAGATGCAGACGACAACGGAGTAGAAAGCTAACCTCACGATTCAGGACCAGGCCTGTTCTTGTTCTCATTACTCTTTGTAACTTCTGGTAACTTAGATGATCTTATGTCTGCTGGTTCATCTCCACCCCCTCTCCTATGACAGCCTCCTAAAATTTCATGCTTACTTGCTCATCATGCTGATTTTACACCCAAGAGCAACATAATTACCTACTCTAAAGAGACAATTTAAACCACCTGTTTAGCACATCATGGAATGACTCCAATGTGCCTTTCCCTTCCTGCTGCTGCCTATTCTAGGGGTATATTTATTACAGGGGACCTATTTTAGGAGGAATATTCCAAGCCATGCTGCCATGTTCATTCTGAAAGGCAGTGGACCAGTTGAATGAGTCACTTTATTCTGGTTAGGAGTCAAGGACTTAGCGTCTCGGGAGACAGTGGTAAAATGGATTTCTCTGTGGGGCCAAGACACTGCAGCAGGTAGTAATTTAGGCTGACGGAAGAAAATCCACTTGATTAAGGACAACAAGATCTGACAAGGAGGAGAGAATGTATCTCAGTTAGTGTTGGAAGCAGAACAACCTTGGTAACGTTGCTCTGGGCAAAACGTGAGCTGGTTTTCCAGCACGGAAATTGGTCTGCGTGGACCTTTCATAGAATCATATGTAACGATCCTACCAAAAAAGTAAAAACACAACACAACACAACACTCCAGGAAGGGAATATGTAAGTAGCACTGAGTAAATGCAGAGAGATCTCCAGGGCCCCAGTGGCCCATTCTTGGTTCAGCAACTACGGGACCTAGAGGTGCAGAGAGCAGAGGTCTGGGAGATGCGCTGTCGTGGCTGCAGTGACACCTGTCTGATGTCCCCAGCCCACTCTAGCTCCGCGTGACTGTGGCTTGCAGCACAAAATTTATTCCACAGCATGTAGATGTGTCCTGTTTTCCTTGTGAAGCAGACTGCTGGTCTCAGGGCCAGGACGGTGATCACGTCTGTTGCCACGATGTAATCAACCACCAGGCTAACTCCAGACATTTTGTGATGCATTTAGATGAGGCAGCAGGGCTTCCTTCCAGGAATGCCTCCATTCAGGACATCCTCAGTCAGCCAGGCGCTCTGCCGGATGCTGAGGACTGTGGGAGTTCCATTTTACAGGTAAATAACAGACTCACAGGCCTTGAGTGTCTTGTTCAGAGTCACTAAGACATGAAAGTGGTCATGTGGCTTGGGTAGATACGGCTGATTGTCTCTAAAACGCCTCATCTCCTTTCTCCTTGTGGACAGGGACTCGAATTTAAGGCCGCAAGGCGCCCAGCCGGAAGTGATGACTTATGATTAAGACGATCATGACAGGGGCGCCTGGGTGGCTCAGTCAGTTAAGCGTCTGCCTTTGGCCCAGGTCCTGATCCTGGGGGCCTGGGATGGTCTTGGGTTCAAGGTCCCCAGCTCGGGCTCCCTGATTAGTGGGAAGTCTGCTTCTCCCTCTCTCTCTGCCTCTCTCCCTGCACGTGCACTCTCTCTCTAATAAATAAATAAAATCTTTTTTAAAAAGGCAATTATGCAAAGCTGTTTCCCAATTCCTCAGCCTTTCCTGCAGTTAGAGGGAGCCCTGTGATCCAGTTATGACCCATAAAACTTAATGAAAAAACTGCTTCATGTGACTCTGAGAAGCTTTCTGTTTTTTGGGGAAAAAAAGGGGGAGTGGTGAGTGTGGCTCACCTGACTTCTCACAATTCTTCTCATTGCCTTGTAAGCAGATATAATATCTGGTGCTGCTGCAGCCATCTTGTGTCCATGAAGAGAGGAAGGAAGGAAGGAAGGGAGCGAGGGAGGGAGGGAGGGATTGGGGAAGGAGGGAGGAAGGTAAGAAGGAAGGGAGACAAAGAAGGAAAAATCCTGAGCCTCAGATGTAACCCAGCCTGTGTCCCTGGTGTCATTATTAAAGCAGCTAAAGCAATGCCAGCAACTGCCTACTCCAGATTTCTGTGAGTTAAACAATCCTCTCTTTTAAGAACTCACGTTGTTCACATTCTCTCTTAATGGCAGCCAAATGCACACCCAGTAAAGTAGCAGAGTTGGACTGTCTTCAGGGCTGTCTGACGCCACTGTCTTCTTGGTTTCCACTCTGCCGTGCTAGCTGCTTGGCAAAAGAGTCCTCAGCAGGTTCTGGGAATCCAGTGGGAACACGTCAACGATGTCACACAGCAAGGTCAGGCTAAAGGACCCACACACATGAGGCTGAGTCTCACCTTGCTGGGTGAGAGTCACCTAAGTGCTTCCTGCCTCACTCAGCCCCAAGTCGTCTGGATTGAGTCCAAGCCTGCCCATGAGTGAGTGAGGTCTGAAGTGTGTGGGAGGGCGGGGCATGTAGCTTTGACTGAGGCAGGGGATCCAGCAGGACCTACCCTACCTGGTGTTCGGTCTCGTCCTAGAGGAATGCTTCATGTCGCAGCTCCAGGGACCCCTGGGTGTGCCACCCTGCTGTTCTGGTCATTACCGGTCATTACCAGGCTCTATGAATCGACTAGGAAAACACTATTTCTCTGTGGAGAAATAGTTTCAGTTTCTGCAAAAGCAAACTACCCTGAAACTCATGGGTGTAAAACAGCACCCATTTTATTTTGCTCACGATTTGGGGGGACAAGAAAGTGGGGAGGTTTTGGCAAGGCAATTCTCAGTTGAGTCACTCATGCTGTTGCCACCAGATGATGGCTGATGTTCAGCGGTCCGAGGACTGGGTGGCAATGGGCATCCAGGATGGAATACCCAGCAGCCTCACTTCTCAGGCTGGACATTGCTGGAGCTGTTGGGCTGGAGCACCTGCAGGTGGCCTCTCCAGCGTGGAGATCTCAGAGCTGATATATTTCTAACATGGCACCTGGTTTCTCCAAAAGCTTCTGGGGCAAGCACCCAAAGAGAAAGAGCTTTTTCTGATCTGACCTTGGAAGTCACACAGCATCACTTCCGATTCTTCCCATTGGTCACAGACAACTCACTAATAAGGTCGCTCTCACTCTGGCTGGAGGGACACAGAGTCCAAGAATTCTAAGCAAGTGTTTTTACAACCAAGCACAATCATCTGGAAGGAGAATGTGCTGGAGAACCATCTAGAAGGGAAATGTTCTGTTAGCCAACAGCACTGTCATGAAGGTAGAGATGCCCAGAGATTGTAGACCACGTTTTCGAGCACCTGTTGTCTCTTTTCTGATCAGAAAAGAATACGTGTTAATTGTGGAAGCTCTGGAAAGCAGTGAGTTAAAATCATGTTGTCCATCATCTCACCCAAGATAGAACCACTGGTAACATTCGAACCTGTTTCCTTTCAGGTCTTTTATCCCCAAGATAATCTCAGACCACACGTAGTTCTGTGCAAGAAATGAAACAGGATAGGGGCTGGAACAGGTTTGGGGACTGGGGAGTGACTGTCTCAGGTGTGCTTGTCAGGGAGGCCTCTCAGAAATAGGTGGTGTTTTCATGGAAACCAAAATGATAAAAAGGCTTCGGGAAGGGTACTAAACGAGAAAATAATGCAGCCAGGAATACTAGATCCAGCTAGGCTGTCACTGGAAATAGAAAGGGAGATCAAAAGCCTCCAGGACAAACAGAAACTAAAAGAATTTGCGATCACCAAGCCAGCCCTACAGAAGATACTGAAAGGGTCCTCTAAGCAAAGAGAGAGGTATCATCTAGCCCGGAAGTTCTCCTCCTGGGTTTCCACCCAACAGAAATGAAAACACAGAAACTGTGTACATAAATGTGCATGGCAGCATTCCTGGTCATCCCTCCAAAGTGGAAGTAAGCCACGTGTTCATCTACTGATGAGCTGGTAGTCTGTGCTCTATTCATGCAGTGTAATCCAACAATAACATAGAACGAATTTCAGAAACATGCTACCGTGTGGATGAATGTAGAAAGTACATGAAATGAAAAAGGAGTCACAAAATACCATGTATTGTACGATGCCGCCTGTCTCAAGTGCCCAGAAGGCAGAGAAAGTAAATTAGTGTTTGCCTGGGGCAGAAGGGTGCTGGTGACATGGGGAGTGTATCCCAAGGTACAGGGTCTCCGTTGGGGGTGATGATACTGTTCTAAAATACGATTTGAGATGGATATACTAAATATACTATGATATGCTATGTATAAAAATGTATAAGAAATGTAAAATATATAAAATAAAATAAGTATATGAAAATAGCATATGCTGAATATGCTAAAAACCACTGAATTGTAAACTTTAACTGGTGAATTGCATGGCATATGAATTCTCTCTCTCTCCCAACATGCTTACATATATTTAAAGAATCAGCACACGATTCTGAATGAATGTCAGGACCACTTTACCACTGATATCAGTTTGTGAGTGTTCAAATATCACTGAGAAGCTCACATTGGCCAAGCACCGAAACAAATTCCAGATGCGCTAAAGACTTGACAGATACCATGGAACTATGACAATTTGTAAGACAATCCGGGTCCTCGTTGGGCTCCTGGACAGGAAGCGGAGACACTGCAGAGCGACAGGTTTGACCACACCATTTTAGCAAAGGAAATTCAGGGACAGACAACAAAACACCAGGACGCTAAGACCCTGCGAGAAACAGCACCGTGTACACTCACAGGCATCTGATGGCACAGTAGGGATGAAAGGCTTGCGGACCGAATGCTAGTGAGATGTATTCTCACCTAACAAATCAGGCAAGATGGAGATGTGGAAGCAGAGAGGCCACGAGACCCGCATCTTGGTCCCCAGGGCACGACGTGTCAATGACTTTCAGTTTCTCCAAGCATAAAACGTTCACATCCTCTGAGCCAGGGGGTCTGCTTCTAGCATTTTCTCCCAAAGAGAAAATGAGACAGGTTGTAAGGGATTTGCAACGCTGTTCACAGAGCCTTTATTTATGAGGGCAAGGCCATACACACGGTATCCCTGACAGTATCTCCGGCCCAGGTGAAACAGGAGGGGTCACCCCAAGGGTGGTTTCCGAAGGTTCCCCAAAACCTGGACTCAGCCCTGCATTGGTACCAGCTGCCTCATGCAGGGGAGGCAGCCCCTGGCCTTGGCCCCCCATTCTTTATGCACCAGTGAGCCGCACTTGCCCGCTCCCCCAAACTGCTACTCGGGAAATTCTGGAGTCCCTGTAGCTAACTCTGTGGGCTATGCAGTGTGCCCCCTCATTCTGGAACCAGACCGCAGTCTCCTGGCCCCTGGCTAGGCTCTGAACATCAGGGTTGTCTGGGCCAGTACCTCAGGCCCAGGCCGAGAGCTTGGCTGCCTCGGTCACTTCCTGGACCAAGACTGCTCCTTGCTGCCAACACCCCCTTGGGTCAGAGCTTTCTAGGGGTTGACACCGGTTTTCCTCTCCTCTGCCATGACTATCTCGGTTCTGTAGATGGGCCCGTCTGAGTTGGGAGAGGGAGCACATTCTGCCTTTAAAACTGGGCTGATGCCAGAGGGGAAGCTGAGCTAGGGGTGGTCAGGGGCTGCTCACCCTGCCCCACCCCTGGAGTGCAGATGGACAGACAGCTGTCCGTGTGTCCCTGGGCCAGGCGCCAGGCCAAAGACCTCTCATTCTTCGGTCTCACAGAATTTTCACTGTGACCTAGGACAGAGGTGCCTGGGCCTGCTGCCTCAGGAAATCAAACCCCAGTTCACCAAGGCCCCAGGGTGCAGGAGGAGCCTGCACCCCACCTCAAGGCCAGACCCCCGGCTGCAGCCTCCACGGCTCCCCCTTCCCAGCTGGATGCAGCATCAGCTCAGCGCTGCTGGAAAATACCCATGCACCAGTGTTCACAGCAGCTCTCCTCACAGAACCCGGCTGGCCAGGACAAGCCACGTAACCCACAACAGCCGAGGAGAGACACAAAGTATATGTGCACACACTGGAATATTCCCCAGCTGAGACAAGCAACAAGGTGCTGACACATGCTTTGTACCTCAAAAACGTGTCTGGTGAAAGAAGCCAGCTCGAGAGCACAGATATTGTGAGACATTCAGCATCGCCAGATTCTGAAATCAGACGGTAACCTCCAGGCTGCAACGCTTGGGAAGCGGGACAAGGGGAGGGAGGGACAGCTGGATGGAAAGGGGGTTTTCTCTGGGAAGGGGGGTTCCGCCCACGCAGGGGTGATGGCCGTGCCAGAGCGTGAGTGCTCCCCGTGCCACACCATCTGCTTCCAGGCGGTGGGGGCGGCACACTTCACGCTGCGTGCATTTTGCCCCGATACACACGGCGGAGAGCACGGGGCTGGCCTTCAGGCCCCTGGTGACCTGGCCGACCGACACGGCTCCCTGGGCCTGCCTGCCTCCCTCCCTGGCTGGCTCCAGTCCTCTCCTCTGAGCCTCTGCCCTGGCCCCTGTGACTCAGGCTGTGCCTCCAGTGGCCCGGGTCTGGGCTGCAGGCCGCCCATGGGCAGTTCAGGTGCTGCGGATGGAAGCCGGCTGGCCGTGCGCTCCCCTCACCCCAGCCCCCGTGGGGACCAACGTGGGCCCAGGTGCCAGATAGGACTGGAGCCCCCGCCTTCCAGACGGCGTGAGGCACTTCCCCTCCCTGCCCATGCTCCTGCTCGGGCTCGGGGGCTCCTCTGAAGTGAGTCCCATCTGCCCCAAACGCTGGCTCCCCGGACCCCACCCCACCAGCCAGACCCCTAACCCCTGGCGACAGACCTACAGAGAAGCCAACACAACCTACACTCCAGGCATCGTACTTCACTCCTTCTCACTTGCTACAGAGGTTGCTTGACCGTTCCAGAAAAATCCTGCTAAGTTAGGCCCCCAGTGCTGTTCTTTGTTTTATAACAGTAACCTCTTCAAATTTCGAAAGGTCATCTGGCACATTTCTGCAGGCAGGCCCAGAGACTGAACCACCTTCTGCTGCAAGCCTAGGGCTCTGTGCTCAGAGGGAGTTCCTGTTGTTCCTGGCCTGAAGCTCAGCCCTCTACCTGCCCCAGCTGACCTGCGCAGGACGCCGGCACAGGGCGGGAGAGCGGACAGGGCCCTCGGGTCACACAGGAGCCCAATCTGCTCTGAACATGACATGACCTCTCTGAGAGCCTCCACAGAAGGCACAGCCCTATAAACAAACTCAGGGGCTGCATCTTATCTAAAAGGGGAACAAACAATGATCCACATGGCTTTCTGAGACCTGCGACGGAGCTGTGAGCAGATCAGGCTGATGTGGGGGCTGGGCCGCTGCTGGGGCCCGCCAAGGACCATGGGCGACCAAGCACAAACTTCCCGGCAGAGGCCAAGGTCCCCATATGCCTGGATTTCCGTGGAGGCAGCAGCCTCTCTCCGGGAGCACGACCTGGGACGCAGGAGGAGGGCTCTGGGTGTGAAATGAACCCTCAGGTCTGAAAGCAAGACTGGACCGGTCTCTCAGGCCGCCGGGTCAGCCCAGTCCTCAGCAGGTCCCGGCTCTCCCAGCAGGGACCTGGAGCCTCCCGGCCTCGCACAGGCACCATGCTCCTCAACACGGGCACGCTGCTCGGCCCCTGAGAGCGCCAGGCCAGGCCTCCCAGATGGCGGGGGCACCCCGAGTTTACCGGCCTCGCCGACGAACACCTCCACGGGCGCGCTGCTGGGCTCTCGCCGATGATGTTGTAGGCCATCAGGATGACCTCATGACACCGGTGTTTCTCAGAGCTACAGGTGGAAAGAGACAGGGGTCAGCTGGCCCGGGAACACCTCGTTCTTCCCACTCCTTGAACATTTAGCTTTGCTGGGCCCTTGTAAGTCTTACCTTCCCTGGCGTCCTCGGTGAAATCCCTTTTCCCTGACAACCTATCTCAAATGGCTCCTCCTCCGTGAAGCCTCCCCTGATTGCCACACTGGGTGCAAGTCCCCAAAGCCCAGGAGCTCTCCATGGGCCACCCCTCTCCGTGCACACCGGGGCTGCCACAGAGACCTGTCCACCCCAGTGGCTGTGCCCCCTGGAGGTGAGCCCCATCTCCTCTGGCCCTCCAGGGCATCTCCCACAATGCCTTGTACAGAGAGAACATGCACAACGGTTCCTCTCCTGGGTGCTCAGGGCGGCGCCTGTGTCAGGACAGGGAAGTGTCTCACCTGGGAGCTCAGCCTGTAAAGCCGAAGCGGTTTTGAGCATCTTGGACACGGTGGCTGAGGATACCTCTGACTCCAGCTCCCAGTAGTAGATCCCATATTCCTGAAGAAGGCTGTTCAGGCTCTCGTCTCTTGGAGGCTGCAAATACATCAAGGTCAGCCCGCCCACGGGGTCTCAAGACCTCTGCTTCAAGTTGAATCAGCCAACTGCGCTGGAGGAAGTCACTAATTCAAACAGGGGTTCTTGGTTGTTTACAGACAAAAAGGTAGGTGCCACATTCATGAAGAGGAGCACAGGGGCCCCCAGGTAGAGGATCAGACCCCGAGAGCCCGGGTTTCCTGATGCCGGTGTGTGGTATGTGGACACTGAGCATCTCATCCCAAATACTTGAAGGACCCCAGGCTAAGGCAGGGACTACGGCCCAGGTAGCAGGTGGGTGACGACGCTGCCCAATGCCTAGTGAACCCAGAACTCTAAGGGAACTATGCACGTGGGCTGGTTCTGCATCATCTACTGGCTGGCCACACCCTGTCCCTGACAGCCACCCAGGTTCGTGGCCGACTCACTGCGGGTGGGGGGGGGGGGGACTGTGAGTGCTCTGCATGCCAGATCACCCCTATTCTGCCCTGACTCAGACCTAAGCTGGAAGCCCCGTGGTCCCTCCAATGTCAGGTGGCATAGGAAGGGCCTAGGGTAGGGCAGGTGCTCATTCGACGTTTCGACACCCTGTGGAACATGAATGGTGGTAGCCAGGCTCTGAATCTAACCCACACCAGGATGCACACAGGGATGCCCAGCTCACATTCTCCCTCCCGTCAATTTCTGTTGGTTAATTAGTCTGGGGAGGGCTGCAGCAGCCAGAGTGCGGGCCAGGGGGACAGGGGCTCTGGGTCCCGGGTCTCCTCTGGAATACTCAGCAAATAAGGACAAGAACCGCTCAAGCTGTACCAGATGGACAAAGGGCACGCCCAGGACCCCTGGCCACAGAAGGGTGGTGAAGCTTGTCCAGACACAGGGATACACGCCGAATTCCCCGTGACGCCTACACAGCCACTGTCTATAGGACGCCACCAGCGTCTTAGGAAACGCTGTCCTGGTCCCAGAGTAAAGGCCACAGCTTTGTTGTAGGAAAACTCCTTTGTCGTGGGTTGAACCGTGTCCTCCTAAAAGATACGTTGGTGTCCTTACCCCCGTGACCTATGGATGCCAGCTTATATGGGCACAGGGTTTTGCAGACCTTGCAGTTAAGAGCAAGTCACGGTGCAGTAGGAAGCACCCTAATCCAGGGACTGGTTTCTTTTTTGGAAGGCAATTTGGTTTTATCTATCAAGGTTTTCAATGCACTTGCCTTTTAACCCAACAATTACATTTCTAGAAATCTACCTGACATAAATGCATATATAGAGTCCTGGGTCCTACAAATACAAGCTAAACCTACCGATGCCCCCCAAACCCCAAAACAAAGTATCTAGGGGTCTTTTCAATGACACCTAAAGTCAAGAGGACCACCTTCGGGCGCCTGGGTGGCTCAGTCGTTAAGCGTCTGCCTTCGGCTCAGGTCCTGATCCCAGAGTCCTGGGATCGAGTCCCACATCGGGCTCCCTGCTTGGCAGGAAGCCTGCTTCTCCCTCTCCCACTCCCCCTGCTTGTGTTCCTACTCTCGCTATCTCTCTCTCTGTCAAATAAATAAATAAAATCTTTAAAAAAAATAAAAATAAAAAGAGGACCACCTTCAAGCTTGAAGGTCACTAACAACAAAGCTGCTTGCAAATGTAACTGCAAAGTCTGGACAGATGAACATGAGCAAGGTATTATAATAGCTAATTCACACGGCAAGCCCAAGTGTTCCACATGATCAGTTGCTGAACGTGAAGAAAGGCATATTTTGAGAAGCAATTTAGGATCCAGCAATCATTTGACAAATACTGAGGAAATAAGGAGATCCAAACATCCTTAGAAGAGGAGAGAGATTGCACATTGGCCCCTGGGAGGGCGTCCTGTGAGCACAGAAGCAGAGACTGGAGCCATGTTTGCAATGTTGTGACTTGTAAGAAGAATATCTATTTAGCCATTCAGATGAGAAAACTTGTTTCTCATATACATGTCTTTGTCCAGAGTGACAAAGGTGTCGCATCATGTTAATGAAGATGTGGGCTGGTCACCAGGACAACCAACCTTGTGATCAGAGGGTTGGAACTTTTGGTCCCACCCATGACTTCTGAGGACGGGAGAGGGGCTGGAGGTTCAATCGATGGCCAATGGCCAATGCTTTCAACAGTCTAGCCTGTGAAATGAAGCCTCCACAAAAACCCTAGAGGACAGGTTCAGCCTGATGTGTGGAAGTAGAGAGAGCAAGGGGGTTGCAATGCCTGGAAGGTGGCCAGAACGTGGCAAGAGCTCAGTGCACACCGGCCTCTTTTGCCTTCTATCTTTGGTAGGCTTCGAATCGGCCCTTTGGATTGTTTTTCATGCACTCTGGGTTCAACCCCTGCCTCACTTAAACCATCTGCTCTAGATCTTGTCCTAGAGTGATCACACGCGGGGACACCAGCTCACACTCTGAGCAAGGCCATGGCACCACGTGGACGGTGCTGGCCCTCGGGTGCTTCCCAAGTGCCACCAGGTGGGCGCCAGGGAACAGAGAGGGGAAGGGCCTTGCCTAAGGTCACACAGCTCCAGAGCCTGGCGCTAGGCACGTCCAGACGGGAAGTAGGACAAGTCATCTCTCCGAGCGCACCCGTCGGCTCTGCATGCAAGTGCCTTCCTGTCGTCCTCTTCCCTCAGACCTCTGGGCCTGGCCCTGACCTCCACACCTGGACTTGGGGTGGCCTTGGTTAGGGAGCCTGCTGAGGCAGATTCCAGAGTGAGGCTGAAGGGCACGTCAGGGGCTTGGCTAGATGGGAACTCACAGAAGATTGGTGTGGGAAGAGGGGGTCTGGGGGGTGTGTGGAGGGTGTTCACATCACTGCCCCACAGCTGCGTCCCAGCAACTGACTGAATCTGTCTGGGCCCCCACTTCTTCTGTAGAACTGGGGCTCACAGTGCTTTGTTCCCCAGGCTTTGGTGAGGATAAACCAAGACAATATACAATAAGCACCTCGCCAGTGTTTGGGACAGAAGCAGCGTCCATGAAGACAGATCTCCCGAGGACTGCTCCACAGGAAACTTTACTGAGCACCTGCTCAGCTGGGCACGTGCTTTTGAACATCAGAGACCAAGTGCCTGGCTTCAGGGAGCTGCCCTCCAACACGATGACTCAGAGCCACCCTGGGCCAGTTACACAACCTCTCTGAGCCCAGTCTCCAGCATTAAACCGGGGACATTCCTGCCTGGCTGATAAACGTCAGGCTGTGTAGACATGCGACGGTACAGGGCCTGACCTGGAAGCCGTGGACCCTACAAGTACCCGGCTCCATTTCCTGCCCAGCTCTCCTCCCCATAGCACCACGACAGTGGACTTGGGCCTTGGGCCTTACCTCTCTTCTCAGTGGTGATGACGGGGCCCTCCAGCGGCTCGACCAGCCCTGCCTCGTCTTGGCCGGCAGCCTGAAGATGTATGCCGACTCTGGGGCCAGCTCAGTGCCCATGAACTGCCTCACCGTGGCACCCACCTCCACCGTGGTGAACGTGCTGGGGCTGCTGCCGGCCAGGCGGTGGCGATCTGGTACCCTGCAGGGGGGACAGGAGGGCCATGCGTCAGTGACATCACCCTCAAATGGCACAGAAAACCTTCCTCCAGCCCCTCAAATGGCACGGAGTGACTTCCCCTCTCTGTTCTGCTCACCACGTACTTGTTGACAGGCCACACGCCTTGATGGGAACCTGGGCCCCTGGACACCGGACTGCATCTATCTTGGCCTCCCCCCAAAGCCCTTGCCTTGCCCAGGGCAGGCACTCAGGAAAGATGACATGAATGGAGGGGCAGGGTTTCAGGTCCCCGCCAACACTGGTGAAGGATTCTCTTCTCTCAGCGGGGCCTGATTTTCAGGTTTCACAATAATGACTTGGCCATTTTCGAACACGGACAGGGATCAAATGATCATTCTGTAATCCCCCCAGCAATGCAAAGCGGCTTGCAGCGGTGTGTCCCTCCACTGGCTTCAGGCCCCTGCTGGTGAGATGATCTTGTTCCAGGTCTCACTAATTTCACCCCAGGGCGCACGATCTACCCACAGCTCACAGCCAGATGCTATGGGTGTGACCGGGCTACCGTGCAAAGAGAGATGTTCTGTCCCCTTCTATGACCTCCCCTAGCACAGGGTAAATGCCAACCAGAAAGCCATCATGTGAGGCACCGAGCCTGCGTACCCCTTTATTTTTTAACACCAATTAGGAAATTACCAGAGGATCCCGGACACAGGATTCTGACTAGAATTTTACAAATATAACAGATTTCAGGCCACGCCATTTGTTCCATTTGGCGTTTTTGTGACGGGCACCACCTAGGCCAAGATGTGGGGCATTGGCGGGGCCCCTGTGACAGGCGGCATGAACACAAGTGGGCAGTGGGAGGGAACGACGGCTATTGCAGAGCAGGTGCGCCCATGGAGCACAGCCTGGGGTCCCCCTCGGTCAGCAATCACACAGCCCTCCTGCTCCCCTTCCGCAAGCCACTCACCTCGTTCTCGCTGAAAACAGTCACACTGAGGCTATTCAAAACCACGATTTCTAGTTGGCTAAACAGAGGGTCGTACGCCTAGCAGTGCCTTCTGGGAATCTGCAGAAGGGAAGAATGAGTTCTATCAATGCAACGATCTGTGTGCAGACCGTGTGCAAGACCAAAGGAGGGGGTGATCAAGAAGAATCCAAAGATGTGCCTGGCACTTTTCCAAAAAAAGAAGCAAAAATGTGAGCTGGTGTCTAGCTAGGACTCAGGTGGCAAAGTTCCCAATGCCATAACATACACACTTCAAATGGCAGGTTCCTGGGACTAGGGACTCCCCTGGGATGGAGCCAGGAGTCGCAGCAGACTCATCTGACGAGGAGTTAAGATGCAGTTTTCCAAGGGCTTCTGAAAGAGTCCCCTCAGGGGCCTTCAGTTGTTCCAGATGTTTTGAAAGACAGCCATTGATGGTTTCTGAAAGAGCAGGCCCCTGAACACAGTGAGAGGGCGTGCTCTGACACTGTGAACCAGATCCTTCACTGAAGTCCACAGACCCAGGGAGAAAAGGGGCAAGTCGGGAAAGGCTTCAGCTCCTCAGGGAGAAGGCCACGGGCCTCACTCCCAAACATGCCTGGGAGGTACGGCTAGGCCCACCAGCACCACAGGCTGTCCCGGGTCCTTTCATGTCACCTGCCCCCCACTCCATGCCTGCAACCCCTGAGAATGTTCCAGCAAAAAATAGGCTTCATTTATGGGCACAGTTTCCACCCAGAACTGTAATGTGAACTGTGTCTAATTTAGTAGGAGGTAACCTGGTTAATGCGGGTTATGCTCTGAAGTATCTACTTTTTGATTATAACAAAGAACAGAGGAACAGAGCTCTCAAAATCACACTGTAAAAGTCTGGGAATAGGAATATTTAATGTCAAAAGTTCAAAGAAAAATAAGGCTGGGGCTCTTGGAGTCTAACAAAATACAGTCGTCTAAATCTTCTCACACGGCAGTGGGTTCTCTTATCTTTCATTTCATTATACTGACACTGAATTTATTTGAACAAATCTGTACACAAAACAAAAAGCTAAAGACCCTACAACCCCCCAATAAGACACTGATTTTCACTTACCAGCCAAGCTATCTTTAAATAAGACCCCTGGCTCGGAAAGGCTGCATGTAAAACTGGCTCTTTCAGTCCGTGCTGCTGAAAGTCCTGCTGGAAGCTTTTTGGGAGAAACTTGACAGCACATATCAGGCTGGTCACTGCCTGTCACTGAAGAAGTTCACTTCTGGGAAATGTCCTGAGAGGATCATCCTGTACTTGGTAAGAGCTTTACGCATAAAGGTGCTCACGAAAGGTCATATGGAAGAACTAAAAAGACAAAGGAAACAAACTAAATGTCCCTCAATAAAAATTCTAACTGCTCTACATTCCCTCCCCGTATTGTCATTTAATCCTCAAATAATCCCTTTCACAGATATAGAAACTGAGGCTCAGGGCTAGGAAGTGCCAAGATACACAGCTGTGAGCAGGAAGTCAGAATTAGAACCTAGCTCTGTGAAGGAAAATATCACCAAATATGGACTGGACTCCTTTCTTTGTCCACATTCAGGCCCTCCTCCCGCACCCTCCACCCCCAGCCCTGGCCATCTGGTACCTACCTAGTACCAGACTCCATAATTCAGACAGAAGCAGGTCCTTCCTGTTAAGAGAAAAAGGCATGGTCATCTCCCAACCTTCTCCAGGCCGCCCCCTCAGTGACCCTGCCCCTGACCATGAGCTGGATGCGGGGAGGATGGATCGCCCTCACGGACAGGGCACACAGCGCCTGCCCTGGAGTGGCAGGAGCAGGGTCCACAGTGCGCATGTCCAGAGCCAGCGTGGTATGGCCGGCGCTCAGAGAGGGCAGAAGGGTTGCTAGAGGACGTCCTGATTCCCAAGGACCCCTCTGGTCTCTTCTGTATCTTTGGCCTACACCACGGCCTGGCACAGAGGCCGAGCTCCATGGATAGTTACTAGACACACAGACTGAGCTTCTCTGAGCTTTAGTTTCCTCACCTCTAGAATGGGGAAAAGGATTGTCCCTATCACGCTCGGTTACAGAAGGAATCAAGTGGGTCAACACACATCAATGGCCTCACCGACAGCAGGGACTCAATAAACAGTCTTTGTTATTACAAATAACTCCAAGGTGAAAGTAAAAGGAGAGACAAATCCAGGGTCTGGACTTTCTTTATTCAAGTCAACTGGCTTATGCAAACCCAGAGCAGAACACGGTGGACAGTGACTTAAAACGAACCCGGTGAAATGTCCAATCAAAGGACATACAGTGGCTGGAAACACAACACCCATCCATGTGCCTAAGGACAACAAAGACCAAAAGTAATGGGACAGAAAAGATGTTCTGCGCAAGTGGGATCCAAGAGAGAGCTGGAAGGGCTATAATCAGACAAAATAGAATTCAATGCTGTTTAAACACATACCAACATTTGTGAGAGGCACCAAAAGTGGTTCTAAGAGGGAAGGTTAGAGCGATACAGGCCTGCCTCAAGAAGGAAGAGAAGTCTCAAACACACACCCTAATGTGACACCTTGTGACCTAGAAAAAGAAGAACAGAGCCCAAAGTCAGTAGGAGGAGGGAAACAACAAAGATCAGAACAGAAATAAATGAAAGAGGGACTAAAAAAAAAAGAGGAAAGATAGGGTGCCTGGGTGGCTCAGTTGATTAAGCATCCGACTGATGATTTCTGCTCAGGTCATGACCTCAGGGAATTGATACCAAACCCCGTGTCAGGATCTGTGCTCAGTGTGGAGTCAACTTGGGATTCTCTCTCCCTCTGCCTCTCCTCTTGTGCACTCTCTCTCAAATCAATCAATCAATCAATCAATCTAAAAAATATATATAAAACAAAATTGACAACTTTAGCTACACACACCAAGAAAGAAAAAGAGGGGAGTAAAATCAGAAATGACAGTAGAGATATTACAATGGACACCACCAAAACAAAGCCTCAAAGGGACTACTGTGAACAGTACACAGCAACAATTTGGACAACCTCAAAGAATCAGCAATTTATTTATTTATATTTATGTTTCAAATTTTTATTTAAATTCTAGTTCATTGTGGTGCCTGATGGCTCAGTTGGTTGAGTGTCTGACTCTTGGTTTCGGCTCAGGTTGTGATCTTAGGGTCATGTGACTGAGCCCCACGTCAGGCTCCAGGCTCAGCATGGAGTCTTCATGAGACTCTCTCTCTCCTCCTCTCCCTCTGTCCCTCCCACTCGTGCTGCCTGTCTGTCCCTCTCTCTCATATAAATAAAATCTTAAGGGCTCCTGGGTGGCTCAGTTATTAAGCGTCTGCTTTCAGTTCAGGTCATGAACCCAAGGTCCTGGGATTGAGCCCCGCATCAGGCTCCCTGCTCTGCGGGAAGCCTGCTTCTCCCTCTCTCACTCCCCCTGCTTGTGTTCCCTTTCTCGCTGTGTCTCTGTCAAATAAATAAAATTAAGAAAAATCATAAGTAAATTAAAGTAAATAAATAAATAAATTCTAATTAGTGACATACACAGTATAACATTAGTTTCAGGAGTAGAATTTAGTGACTCAACACTTACATAAAGCACCTAGTGCTCATCGAATCAGCAATTTAAAACCTCCCAAAAACCAAGTTCCAGGACTAAATGCCTTTAATGGTGAATCCTACCATTCAGGGAAGAATTCATACAATCCTTCTCAAACTTTTCCAAAAAACAGAAGAGAAAGCTTGTAAGCTCATTTCCTGAGGCCAACATTACCCTGATACCAAATCCAGACAATGACATTCCAAGGAAAGAGAATTACAGGCCAATATCCCTGATGAACATAGAGGCAAAAATGTTCAACAAAATACTAGCAAACCAAGATCACCACTATGCTGAAAGGATCATATACTATGATCAAGTGGGATTTGTTCCAGGAATGGAAGGAGGGTTCACACATGCACATCAATCAAAGTGATCCAACACATTAACAAAATGAAGAATAAAAATCATGTGATCATCTTGAGAGATGCAGAGAAAGCATTTGACAAAACTTAGTATCCACTTATGATCAAAATTCTCAACAGAGTGGGTAGAGCGGGAACATACCTCAACATGATAAAGGCCACATATGACAAGCCCACAGATAACATTATATCCAATAGCGAAAAGTTTCAGCTGTTCTTTTTTCCTCTAAGATCCTCTATGTTAGGAACTTTCCTGATCTTTCCTCGCCACTTTTATTCAACATAGTATTGGAAATCCTAGGCAGAGCAATCATGCAAGAAAAATAAACAAAAGGCATCTAAATTGGCAAGAAACAAGAAAAACTGTCACTATTTGCAGATGACATGGTATATAAGGAAAACAAAGACTCCACAGAAAAACTGTTTGAACGAATGACTGAATTCAGTAAGGGTATAGGATACAGTATCAATACACAAAAATCTGTTGTGTGTCTATACACTAATAACAAATTATCAGAAAAAGAAATTAGGAAGATGATCCCAGCTGAAGTTGCATCAAAAAGAATAGAATACCCAGGAAGAAACTTCACCAAGAGGTGAAAACCTATATACTGAAAACTATAAGACGTTAAGGAAAGAAACTGAAGACAACGCACGTAAATAGAAAGACATTCCATGCTCACGGATTAGAAGAATTAATAGTGTTAAAATCTCCATACTTCCCCAAACTATCTACAGATTCACTGTACTTCCTATCAAAATTCTAATTCCATTTTTCACACAAATAGAACAAAGGATCCAAAAATTTGTATGAAGCCACAAAAGGCTGAATAGCCAGACCAATCTAGAGAAAGAAGAACAATGCTAAAGGCTGCACACTCGCTGATTTCAGACTATTACAAAGCTAGAGCAATCAAAACAATCTAGTATTGGCATAAAAACAAACACACAGATCACCAGAACAGAAGGGAGAGCCCAGAAGGAAACCCAAACATCTATGGTCCAGTACCTATGACCAAGGAGCCAAGAATATACAAGGGGGAAAGAACAGTCTCTTTAATCAATGGTGCTGGGAAAACTGGACAGCCACAAGCAAAAGAATGAAACTGCACCATTATCTTACGCCATACACAAAAATTAACTCAAAATGGATTCAAGACTTGAATATAAGAATTGAAACCATAAAACTCTTAGCAGAAAACATAGGGAAAAGCTACTTGACATAGCTCTTGGTAGTGATTTTTTTAACCTAATACCAAAAGTAAAAACAATTAAAAAAATGTGGGACTACATCAAACTAAAAAGCTTCCAAACAGCAAAGGAAACTATCAACAAAATAAAAAGGCAACCTACTGAATGAGAAAACATTGGCAAATCATATATCTGATAAGGGGTTATTATCCAAAATATAAAGAGCTCATGCAACTCAAAAGCAAAACAAAACAAAACCACAAAAACAAACAAACAAAAAACCCACAAGCAATCTAAGATAAAAATGGGCATATCCAAATAGACATTTTTCTAAAGAAGACATACAGATGGTCAACACTAACATGAAAAGATGCTCAACATCATTAATCATCACGGAAATGCAAATCAAAACCACAATGAGATACCACTTCACACCTGTTACAATGGCCATTATCAAACAGACAAATAACAAGTTTTGGTGAAGATGTGAAGAGGAGGAAAACTCTTGTGCATTGTTGCTGGGAGTACAAATTGGTGCAGCCACTATGGAAAACAGTACAGAAGTGCCTCAAAAAAATTAAAAAGAGAACTACCATAGGATTCAGCAATTCCCCTTCTGAGTATTTATCTGAAGAAAATGAAAACACTAACTGAAACAGGTATATGCACCCCGTGTTCATGGCAGGATTATGTACAACAATGAAAATACAGAAACAACTTAAGTGCCCATCAGTGGCTGAATGGAGAAAGAAATTGTCGTAGATACACACAGTGGAATACTACTCAGCCATAATAAAGAATGAAATCTTTCCACTTGCCATTTCGATGGAACTTGAAGGCATTCTGCTAAGTAAAATAGGCCAGACAGAGAAAGACAAATACTATAAATCACTTACTTGTGGAACCTTAAAACAAAGAAAACAAAAACAAAAAACTGAGCTCCTAGAGAGGACAAATGGGTGACTGCCAGAGGTAGGGAGTTAGAGGTGGGAGAAATGGGTGAAGGGGGCAAAAGGAAAAAGAAAACAAGCCCAATTATACCATCTTTTATTTTATTTATTTATTTTTTTTAAAGATTTTATTTATTTACTTGACAGAGAGACACAGCGAGAGAGGAAACACAAGCAGGGGGAGTGGGAGAGGGAGAAGCAGGCTCCCCGTAGAGCAGGGAGCCCGATGCGGGACTCGATCCCAGGACCCCGGGATCATGACCTGAGCTGAAGGCAGTCGCTTAACCAACTGAGCCACCCAGGCGCCCCCATCTTTTATTTTTTTAATTAATTAAGCTGTATCTCCAATGTGGCTCATACTCACAACTGTGAGATCAAGAGTCTCATACTGCACTGACCGAGCCACCCGGGTGACCTGAATTATAGCATCTTCCAATGCTCGTTTTGAGAAAGACTAAAGTAATTTAATCTACGATATTTTGAGGGCTATGTATATATTTGGTAAACTTAGAAAGAACACAGACCTCAGAAACACACTCAGGTCTGTATCTGGTTCTAATATTTACTATGACATTGA